TTTTATAAGGGCTAAGAAGAACCTTCACTTAAATAAATGGGTGAGAATCAAACACATTTTGTTATAGCAATGTCTCCCTTTTTTAAAATTTTCTTCTGAGCTATATGCCCAAGTCACTTAATGATCTATCTTCAAAATTACTCTAAATGATCTGTTAGCTGACAACTCAAGGGGAGTTCCTCTACTTTTGCTGAAAACAAACCTCGGAAACCCTCTGACCTGTCACAGAATCTGTTAGTTGCTGGTCGTCTACTTTCTAGACCCTCATGGTGCTGTTCCCACAGTCTCCCCTGAAAGAACGCAGAGGGTCTGCAGGGTGAAAGTACACCCTCCGGTAAGTGGAAACAGACAGTCACAGAAGGGCAGGCTGGGAGGAGGAAGCGGCCCTCAGGCACAGGGAGCACAGGAATTTTCTGGAAGCACATGGGCCGAAACTGAGCAGCTAGAAACCAACTGCTGCAGCTTGCCTGTGCCCGCACATCCCCTGAAAAAGCGCACCATATACTATTTGGACAATGTTTGTTCCTTGATATGATTCTTTTCAACTTTCCTGTGATTCCGTTCTTTTCTCTTACTATTCTAGTATCCATTCTACCATCCAATCCAATGATGAGGATGAAAAATCACTTTACCTAGACATTGCTAAGGACAATTGGTATAACCCTGAACATTACAAAACCAACTGAATTTTCAGGATCAAAAACCCAGAAATCCCTTTTTTTTATCGCTACTGTCATCCACTATAGGCACTCCCTCAATCACTGTGAATGTCCAGTTTAAAGACACAGAATCGATCAATCCATGGAAGTGCTCCAAAGGATGTTTTCCAGCCATTCTACTTGACTCTTCAGAGATTCGAGTGGTGGGCTATGGCCTCCTGCTCTCTCCTGGCCTGCTTCCTGCTGGTCTCTCACCAGGTGATCTGTGTCCACACCTGTCACCCACAGTGCCTCCGATGGAGTCCTGAGGAAAGGTCTGTGGAGACGACAAAGGCTGAGCACCGCCCAGGGCCTCCAGAGCCTGCGGCAGCACATGGCTGCGGAAGGGTCAAGGCCCAGGCCGCAAACCAAGATGCTGCAAGCTTTCTACCCTCTGACTGTAAAGGGGCCGAAGCTACCACTTCACTGAGATTTGCACAAATTAAGGTTAAAACGTGTATAAAGCCACATAAGCAACAAAATCGGAATCTAGACACTAGTTTATGTCTGCCCTCCCCAACCCCACCCCACTCCACCCCTTCACAGATGCTGGGAATGCAATCTTGTGATAAAAATATCTTTCCCCCCTGTAGTGGACTATGGTGAACTCTGAGTTAGCGAGGAGACTGTCCGAATAAAAAATATCCACAGACGGCCAGACTCAACTGGGGCTTCTTTTTTTTCTTTCCACAAAGTGCACACAAAATTTCCAAAGTTCATAAAGATTTCCAACTAATCCTCCATTCATACATTTGAGGACAGAATATATAGAATCCATCTTTGTATCCCCAGTGCTGAGCCCAGTGCCTAGCAGATAAACACCACCTAAAGTGTGAATAAGCAGATGACTTGCCCAAGTCTTAAGGTACTGGTTCTTCAAGATCCTCCCTTGTCAGGGAAGAGACAAGCAATTTAGTAAATGATGAGGATACAATCATGAAAGAATTACAACAGCTGTTATAAAAAAAATGCAATGGAAACACACAGTGCAGAACTAACTTTGCCAAGAGTATCTGGGGAAGCATGATGAAGAACTGGTTAATATCACTAACAGTAATAAAATACTGCTAACGTGTATCGAGGCTTTACTACTTGTCCAACAATATTCCAAGCACTTTGAATATACATAATTTCCTTTTATCTTCCCAAATAATTCTTTGAAATGGATACTATTTCCTCTCTACAGAGAGGGATAGTGAGGCACTCATCTAGGTCATACACTACAAGACGCAGAACAGATCCGAACCCACTCTGTCACGACTTACAGAGGGAGCAGCAAAGGGTCATTCCTCCAGAGGGAACAGCACATACCATCCGAAACGGAGGAAGGAGCCTGTCTAGGTGTGATACTGCAGACGGTGGGGAGCAAGGGAGGCCTTCCCTCCAGGACACACAGAACATGGCAGCACAGCAGAGTGGCTAAGACAGACTCCCCAGGCCCCCCCAAGTGAGCCAGGCATCACTGGGCAAGTTACTTCACCTCTGTATGCCTCAGCCTTCCTACCTATAAAATGGAAGTATATCTCCTCAGAGGGCTGTGCAGAGGATTATGTTGTTATTTGTAGGGTCATTAGAACATTGCCTGGCATATAGTGCCATAAGAGCAGTAGATAAAAATAAGCAAACAAATACATACTAAAGGTGGGAGACTGTTGCACTACGCCAGGTAAGACATGGTGCAGGCCTAAGTAGTCACAGTGGCGATAAAAAGGAGATCCACGCTAAGAAACCTGTTAGGCAGCAGCCACAGCACTTGGAGGGCATAGATTGTGATGGGGGCAGGGCAGTGGTGTGTACAAGTACACAGTTAGGGAGTCCCCAGGAACACCCTCACTTCTGACACCAACTGTAAGTCTGGAGTCCCCAAGACCACTCTCAGGTTTGGTTAGAGGCTGGGAGGACACACAGGACTCACTGCCAACTCGTGGTCATGGTTACAGTTTATTATACAGACGCTCGGAGAGGAGTGCAGGAACATCCAAGACGTGAAGCGTCAGACAAGGGTAACGTCTCCCTGCAGCCATGTGTGACAACACGCACAGGAGCACTGCCAACCACAGAGGACCACCAGAGCCTTGGTGGCTAGACTTTAGTGGGGCTCAGTCACACAAGTGGCTGCCCACTCGGCTGATCTGTATCTCCAGACCCTCCAGAGATGGAGGCCGAGCTGGTCCTGCGGCTCACAGCCCCCACCATAAATTACATGGGTAGACCTTCCCGGGGGGCCCAAGCCCCCAGGTAAACAGACACTCTCAGGCAGGACACTCCAAGAGCTGAGAGCAGACACCAGACTTGTTTTTGAGTAAGGTTCCTTCTTTAGCGCAAAAGCAGTGAAGGTGTGAAGAAGCAGCACCAGACCGATGGGGTGCCTTCAACTGAGACAAAGCAGCAAATGGCAACACAGGTTTGGAAGAAAAAATACTATGCTTTTGAGTGTGCCTGGTATGGAGCTGAGTGAAGGTTCCAGAAAACACCCACGGGACTGAAGCCTGGGAAGGCCCGCACAGCCTGAGAGGAGAGCACAGTGAGGGAGGCTGTCACCCCAGGAGCCGGCGCACCTGCGGGAGAGCGCACAGGCAAGGCCGGGACAGGTTAAATCCAACTTTAAAGGGGTGCTCAGAGGGTGACGCACAAGAAAGGTGATTATGAAACAACTAAAATAAATACCAACCCTTCCCCACTACTGTGAGAAACTAAAATTATGGAGTAAATTACTTCCCAGGTAGGACAAACTACACTTACTTTCCCTGGAAGTAGACTCCGCAAGCACGAAGTCTTGCAAATAAACAGTTAAAAACCAAAAACACTTCTGTTCTCATTTCTCCACGCCATCTTCCATGCACAGACTACTTTCTATGCTGAGAAAGCCTCTACTGTGCCCATGGCAAATTTACCACGTTTATGCAAAACTTAACCACGAAAACACAACAAAAGGTAGATGAAGCAGAAGGCACAGCTAATTAAATGGACTTGAGGTTCACTGCTCATTTTGTTTGGGGTCAAATAATTCATAAATCTGTCTGAGTACATTAAATACAAGAATAACTCATTACAGGGTATGAGCAGCCAGACCACTACAAAATCTGGAGACAATATACCTCTTGAAATCTCTCTTTTTAATCATCTATGTGTGCCTAACACCACCTAGGTATGAGAGGCACTGGAAGAGGGTCAGCAGTGGAGTCCTCGAACCAGAGAGCCCAGGCCCGGATCCCTGCGGGCCTGCTCGCTCATCCAGGGAGCCCGGGCTAGTCACTTCACCTGTGCTGTCTCCTCAAGTGAACCCATCACACTTCACTAGTCACTGATTCTTCTTTCCTCTGTGATAGAAGTCACCCACTTTAAACTCCAGTTTAAACCACCACTCTAAACTACATTTTCATATTACAGTATTTACAAGTTCTAAAACAGCTTAACTTGTCCCAAAATTATCTCAGAACCACCTCAGACTTTATCGTTATTTGTAAAGACTTAACTGTTTTTTTAAATGATGCTTACAGTTGTCCTTCGTAAAGGAGAAACTCTTCCTGAGCTGACCCAAAAGAAGACGAACAAGATGGTTATCTGAGCAGTCCCCGATACGTCTGCAGCCAGTAGCTTCCCCCCGAGGGAAACGTGGGGTTTGCCCCAAACTTCCGCGTCCTACCTCAGCCTCAACGCCCGCGCCTTTGCCAAGGCGGCCCCCGGGAGTCCCCAGGACCTGGCTCCCGGGCGTGCTGGTGCCTCACGGCTGCTGATCAGCCATCCTGCGGGCCGCTCGGGAAGCCGCGGTCGCGGTCGCCCCGCCCTGCTGCGCGCACCCGCTGCAGGACCCCACGGGCCGCCGGGCTCCGAGCGGTCTCCGGGGCACGACCCAGAGCCACATCCCGGGAAGGCCGACTCAGCACGCGCACACCAGGCTCCGCTCCCTGATGCCTGCGCCTTAAGGCCTACACCGTTCTCTGCAAAGCATCTGCACACGTGAGTGTGCACGTGTTCAACGCCCAGCAGCCCCGACACCGGGAAGAAACGCGGGGACCAAGCGCAGGGCTCTAGCCGGGATGGAGACGTGCTGGCTTCAGGGCGGTGCGCTATCTTCCGAATTTCAGGAACCTCAGAAGTCTCCTTCTAGACTTCCGCACTACAGCGTCACTTTGTCAGACGGGCGCGTCCCTGTTTCGGAGACGAAGCAGCCTCCAAGGCGAGGCCGGCGGCGGCTCCGGCACCGGGTCTCCCCCTCCAGCGGCTCCGTCCCGTCCTCCCTCCCGCCCACAGCGCCCCGGCCGCGTGCTGTCCCCCGGAGCCCGGGGCGGCCCCACTGACCTGACCGCGGCCCAGGCGTCGCCGAGCTCGCTGGAGTACTGGGCGTCGAAGTGGTCCAGCACGACTCCGCACACCCGCCGGGCCAGCCTGCGCTCCGGCGCCGCGGTCAGCTGCGGGACAGGGGCACGGCGGTCACACCCGGCACGCGGACGCCAGCTCACGCCGGCGGCAAGCCACCGAGACCGGACGCCCCGCAGCAGGCACTTCGCGACGGGCGCCTCCGCGAAGCGAGCGGGCCGCGGCTCCCACTTGGAAGAAGAGGGCGCGTCCGCGGGAGCAGGGGCGGGGGGACCCTGCGGCGCCCACAGGGAGCGGTCAGGGACGAGCCCGCGGCGCCCACGGGGAGCCGGGTGACACCCTGGGCCCGGCGACAAGCACACGCAGCCTGTATCCTTGCGACTCTCCGTCAGCGTACAACTCCTCCACGCCCGCTTATCCGGAGGTAAACTCCGCCACGTCCCGCGGACGCCGCCCCCGCCCTCATCCGGGCCATCCGGGTCCCCGCGCCCTCGTCCGGGTCCCCGCGCCTCCGGGACGCGCGCCGGCTCCCGGCCCCGCCGGGCTGAGGGCGGGTCTCGGGGTGAACCGCGTCCCCGGGCCGGCTGTGCAGCCGCAGATCCCCGACCACCAGCCCCTCCCGCCGCCGTGACAGCGCACGAAGGCCGGCCCGCTCTGGGCGTCCTCGGCCCGGCCCTCACCCGGGTCAACACCATCCCGCTAGGACACGCCAGACGCCAGCTCCACGCTGCCCGGCAACGAAAGATCCAGGAAGCAAAACAGCTAGGCTTCCGGGTTCCGCCGGAATCCGCTCTCATCCCTCACGTTTCCGGTTCCACACCTCGCGGGACAGTGCTTTGCCTGTGTTATCAAAATCTTGCCAAAAAGGCCTAGGTCCCGCGAGAGGCACAAGGGAAGTTTTTTCTGCGGGCGGCTGGAGGAGGCGGTGCCTACTCCCGGGGCGAGGGCGGAACCTGTGGGCCGGGAGCCGGGCCCTTGGTTGGGGTGCGGCGGTGGGCGGAGCCCTGGGGCGGGGCCTTGGCCGGGGGGGGGGGCGGAGCCCTTCGGTGGGGGCAGGGCCCGAGCCGCTGAGGGGTAGGGACCGTGGGCGGAGACCCCGGGTGGGGGCGGGGCTCTCGTTTTGGGCGGGGCGGGGGCGGTGTTGTGGGCGGGGCATGGGCGGGGAGAGGGCGGAGCTCTATTTCAGGGCGGGGCGGAGCCGGGGGCGGGGAGAGGGCGGAGCTCTGTTTCGGGGCGGAGCCGGGGCGGGGCGGAGCCGGGGCGGGGAGAGGGCGGAGCTCTGTCTCGGGGCGGAGCCGGGGCGGGGCGGGGAGAGGGCGGAGCTCTGTCTCGGGGCGGAGCGGGGGCGGGGGGCGGGGCCTGAGCGGCCGGGCCCTGGAAGCCGCGCAGCGCGCTTGCGCGCCTGGCTGCGCGTGTGCGGGGCTCAGGCAGGGGAGGGGCGTTCTTGTCGCTCTTAGGTTTTGTTGTATGATCATTTTTTCAAAATGTTGTCAGAGGCGAAACTATTAATCTATCAAATCTGATGACCCGCCGTTACCCGGATATTCAGAACTCAGGATGAAAGGATGCATATGATGAAAAGGAAATTGTCACGCGTTTCCTAAAATGGCCCATTGGCATAATTTTTCTTTTAATGGGAAGAGTTAAATGACTAAATCGATTGAATGACGCAAGTAAAGCCCTTAGCACAGAGACCAGGAAACAGTGAAGGCCAAACTTCAGCTGTGCTGAGTACGATTCCGCTGTCGCGACCTTCTGGTCATCGTCGTCAGGCCCTGAGACCGATGAGGCCGCAGCGCCGCGTGCGCCCCGCAGTGCCGGGTTCCCGCCGGAGCCGTGACCTGTGTGTGTGTTAGTGCTGCTCTGAGTGCCCCCGTGTAACTGCAATCAGCAGATTATCAGAAAATCGGTGTAATGTGGTACCTAACGTTTAACGAGCATCGTCAATTTGAGACCCTTGATGCTCAAAGTATCAGTACAGGTGTATACTATAGGTGCAAATCTTAAGACCGTGAAAAGATACATGTCATTGCCACTAATGTTATTTGAAGCTTAATATATTTATTTAAAGAAGTTCCCCAATAATCTAAAACTGAATTTAGATTTGGTGCAAAAGAAAATTTAGTAGTAAGGAGTGAAATGATTAAATGTGTGCGGTTTATTGGATGTGTAGGAAAAAGTCATTAGTCTACCTTTCAGTCTCTACTTAGAGATTTTATATAATTTATTTTTACTGTGCTTATTATAGAATGTTGCATTTAATGAATTAATGTGACAGTATATTTGCAATGTAGACATATAAAAGATTTTTAAGCAGGTAGTAGAAATCGTGTATACTTTATTTCTTTTAAAGAAAGTGGACGTATGCTTGGAAAGAGGTTGTGGTAGTTCTATTGTATTGTTTTGTGACTCAGTGTATTTCTGTTCTCTCATTTTAAATAAACTGATGCTTATTGAAGAAAATTATTTTAAAAAGCCTATGATGGGGCCAGCCCCGTGGCCAAGTGGTTGAGTTCGTGTGCTCCATTTTGCCGGCCCAGAGTTTGGATCCTGGGTGCAGACATGGCACCGCTCATCAGGCCATGTTGAGGTGGCGTCCCATGTGCCACAACTAGAAAGACCACAACTAAAATATACAACTATATACTGGGGGGATTTGGGGAGAAAAAGCAGAAAAAAAACAAAAGATTGGCAACAGTTGTTAGCTCAGGTGCCAATCTTAGAAAAAAAAGGCTATGAGAATGAAAGTGAAGCGTAATGCCACTAAAGATAATCACTATTAACATTTTGGTGTCTTTCTCTAATTTTATACATTTTCAGGGTTGATCGAAAGCATTTATATATATATAAAGGTTGATCAAAAGTTTTCATAAGCATTTTCTTATATTAAAAATTCATATACATCACTCCTGGAAGTTACACAGTGTTCGAAGGTGTGGAGGTTATCATACTTACTAGCTAGCTCCTTATTCTTGATAAATATTTTTGCTCATGAATCTTTCCATGTCTGTTAATCTTACAATTTTTTATTACATCCTTAGTTTGGGTAAGTTTTTAAATCTTCTTAGTTATTATAGTCCTTTTGTAAATTGCCTGCTCATGTCCACTTATCTATAGATGTCTTGGTGCTATTTTTATTCATATTTATATTAGAAATGTTAACCATAGCACATTTTCAAATACTTTCCCAGTTTTTCTTACAACCATTTGACTTTAAGTGTGAAAATACTTTATATTTTTATGCAGTCAAGTTTGTAATCGATTCCATTGCTTTCAGGCTTGGAAATTTCTTCCCATAGAAGAGATCTACTTCGGCTTCTTTCTCGCCCCTTTTTTTTTTTGTTTAACCTTTACTATTTAACCCATTAATCTCTCTAGAATAAGTGTTAGTGTATCATGAGGTAGTTCATGGATTTGCCTACCCCACACCAAATAGCTGCTGAAGAATAAACAAAGCTGCACACTGAGTTCTGAGAAGAGGAGCTGTTAGCAGCACAGTTGTTTTAAACCACTGCAGACATGAGAAATTGAGCTGACACAAATGCCAGAAGTTGTATTAGTTTTTTATTATTATGGTGTTAAAGAATGAAGCAGCTTAATAAGGAGCAGGGAAAGGATTTTTAAATACATGACAATTTTATTGTGAAGTCATTTGATCTAACAAGTGTTTCAGAATAAGTACACTTTATAGACTATCTCCAATACTATGTTTATGAATTTTCATACTTAGATAAAACATCTCTCAAAACCTTCCTGTTCACATAGAGTTTTATGTGTCAAAAAGGTAAAGGAAGGCTTTATAGTTAAACCATCTGTTACCGAACCTGAAGTGAGTTCGCTCACCTGTTGCGCAGCAAGCCAATTTCTGACACCGGGGGTGGTGGAAGAAAGTAGGAATTTTATTTTTGCACAGCGCTGAGCAAGGAGAGAGGGTAGCTAACGCTGAAATCCCAAACTCCCCGAAAAGCTAAAAGGAAGGGTTTTAATTTGGGGTTTTAGGGAGGGGAGGGGGAGCATATGGCCTTGCTGGTTGGAGCTTTCCCACCAGCCTGTCTTTGGCCTTAAGACACTTACAGAGGGGAGGGAGCTTGTGACCTTGCTGGTCAGCAGCTTTCCCACCAGCCCGTATCTCTTTGCGGGAGGAGATAGTCCAGGTGCTTGTCCTTGACGGTGTTTGTCTCCATGGAGGATAGTGGATTCTGGAGCCAGGAAACCAGGGAGTCAGCAGGGAATGAGTGTTTTGGTTTTAACCCCATATATGCTGAGTTTAATGTGGGGAAACTGATATCAGGGTTGATATCACATTGACATCAAGAGAACGTTAGCACAAGAGTGCAACAGAGGAACCTGCCTTCACAGCCGGGAAGGACGCGCGGTTCCAGGCAGTCCTGGGCTCTCACGTGAGTGAGAAGCTGGCTAGCCAAGGCTCAGTGTGTTGTTTTAAAGATTAAATTAAATAAAAATACAAGTTACTATATTTACTTCCCAGTCCCGGTGTCTGCTGGAGGTTGCATACATACTGGTGGCCTAAAACATTTTTTTAGGGGAGTATCTGAACATGCATGTAATTATCATGGGCTGAAACTTGTCCCCCTCAAAATTTGTGTCTTGAAGCCCTAACCCCCAGTACCTCAGAACGTGACTGTATTTGGGAAAAGGGCCTTTCTGGAGGTGATTAAGTTAAAAGGAGGCCTTTAGGGTGGGTCCTAATGCAATCCGACTGGTGTCCTTATGAAAAGAGGGAAAGTGGACACACTGAGACACTAGGGGTGAGTGCAAGCACAGGAAAGACCTCGTGAGACCCAGGGAGACGGAGGCCATCTGTGAGCAGAGGAGAAAGATCTCGGGAGACAGCACCCTGCCAACACCTTCCTCTCAGACTTGCAGGCTTCATAACCATGAGGAGGTCAGTCTCTGTTGTTTAAGCCACCCAACTGTGGCACCCTGTTATGGCAGCCGAGTGAACTGATATGGTAACTTAAGTATAAATGTATACCAAAAATTTTTACTGACGAACATGTACTATTACAAAAATTTGGAGACCAGTAATGCATCTACCTTGGTGGTAATTCTGCTTCCTCGTCAGCATACAGAAGGACCTGACAGCTCAGGCTCTAGAGAGCAAATGATTTTCTTCCTATTTTCCCTTTAATTATAAGCTGATGCCCTTCATTAAAAGAAATTCATTTCTGATTTCATTTTTCTCAAAAAACAGGCTTCTATTATCGTTTCCACAAAACTAGTGGATTTTGCTAATTTATACCATACTTTAAGTTTTGAAATATCTGCATTTGTTCTTCAAATCAGCTGGAATATATATCTTGAAAAATTAGTCAATGCTAGCAGAAGCTCAGTTGCAAAGTGTACTGCACTTGGAGAAAAACTTTGGTTTTAAAGCCAAGGATTATAAGAGTTCTAAGCCACAGCTCTATTTGCTTAAGCAGTTTCATTTTTTTTTTGGTGAGAGACTGGCCCTGAGCTACCATCCGTTGCCGGTCTTCCTCTGTTTTGTATATGAGGTGCCACTACAGCATGGCTTAATGAGTGGTGTGTAGGTCCATACTCAGGATCCAAACCTGCAAACCCAGGGCCGCTGAAGCAGGGCCTGCAAACTTAACCACTGCACCACTGGGCCAGCCCTAGCAGTTTCACTTTTGATAAGCTCTTGCCACCTGGAAGCACTGGCTTTCGTTAGTGTGGAATGGGAGAAACTGAGTAACATGGGTAGCATAGCACAGAGAACTGAATATCGAGTAAAACACCATCATAGTGAGAGAGCACTTTATAAGCAGCTGCAAATGTGATCGCATGTTCTACCATTGAATGTCTGTGGGCTGTTCAAGGGAAGTTTGACATATTAAGTGAATTCTAGTCCTTCATTTGGCATTTATAAGAGCATTTAATTTTAAACTCACAGAAAACATGGTGCTTAATTTTTACAAAATTATTAATTTGCTTCCCCCATTATAAAAGTAAGCCAAATTACAAAAAGCTGGTTTGAAGAATTGTGGAAAACACACAACCAATAACTCAAAAATTCACTATTAGCATTTTGCAACATTTCTTTCTAGTGTTGCTTCCATTCATAGTTTTATAGTTGAAGTCAATTACATACAATATTGTGTATATGTTATATATGCTTTTATGCAGAAAGGCATAAAGAATTATCTTTTAAATAAGTAAAAATATGTCTGTGGGTCAGTAGCTGTAATTTAACAAAAGACAAACATTGAATCATCTAGAATCTTAAGGTGATATGATGTTATTTTTAACTGCCACTAAAATGACAACATTCTTTCCCACATACATAAAAACTTGTGCCGAGAAAGAAGTTTTTCATGTAAAGTAACAAAAAATTCATTATTTTATTCTATTGACCTAGTCTTTCAATAATCATATTTAAAAAATCTTTTCCTATTTTATTACCCAAAAGAAACCATTTAAGCTTATCAAATGAAAAGCGAAACAGCGTACTGATATAAATTATTTTTATTGTGTGAAAATGTCATAATTCATGAAGATTAATAATAAAAATGCAGCATATAACAAAATAGGCATTTACTTGTTAAAAACCACCTGAATTTACAAAATTTCTTTTAGAATATTTTTAGAATGCTTTAAGAATACAAATTAATTTTTTGAGAGCGATATAAAACATTTTACTTTATCATATATTTAATTTCAAAATCATTTTTATTAAATGGACTCAGTAATTATTGTACACTGCAGTAATCACTGGTAGGAAAATAAATTTTAAAAACATATTTATTCTCAAACTAGATGAATATTAAAAAGATGGCAAAGTATGCTTAGTTTTTAAAAACATGAATAAATGTAAATGTTACAAAAGGAACCAACAAGATGTGCAAACAAGTTTATTCTCTAAAATCTAATTCAAAGTTTATACTCTGTCTCCTTGTATTGTTTTCCTTACATTTCAGCCACCTATCAAACTTGATCTGAAGGACGGTGCTTGTTACTCAGTGTGCTAGGTAGGTACATGTACAAAACCCCAAAAACCTGGAGTTTAATCAGTAGTAAGTGACCTGATTAAAGTTCAACGAGTTAAAAAATGTGAATAAGATGTGATGCTCTGAAGTAAAATTCTAAAAGTAAACGATCACATTAAACTGCCTTGGACTTACCTATCATGTTTCTGTCAGACACCTGTGTGAGTCTGTGGTCAGTACAAGTTACCAAACGACCAATTTTAACACGGTGATGGAAACCATACTGTTTATGATATTTTCTCCTTGATATAAATGTATGCTTTCATATAAATGAACATGAATCTATTACTCAAAATATATGTCTAAAAGTTTGTCTAAATGCCAGACGAGTACAGCATCCTGTAGATGTCATTCGTCAGTGCAAGAGAAGTAATACTTTATTTTGGAATTATTTCTTTATAAACGTAATTTTAAACCGACAGTTTTATTCTTACTGTAGTAACCAAGCATTTCCCAGTTATAAAACACAAGTCTCTGGACCTACAGAAGCTTTTCAGTCTTTTTGCCTTTAATTTCAAGGCACAAAAGAGTCAGAAAAACCTAAAGTCACTGCAGCTTCTGAGAGAACAAGGGGTGACAGGAGCACCTGGATCTAAAAGGTCCAACTTTAAAAGAAGCGTTTATTGGGACTTTTAATAAATTCTCACATAACATTTTTATTAATTTAGAGAGTATTTAGGTCAAAAGGTATTTCAAGTCTCTTTCATTTTTGGGATCATCACCAAAGAAAACAAACAACAAGAGAAAAACTGAACTCTTTCCTTGGGTAGTGCTTTCAAATACCATAATTTGGTAGAATAAAGACCTGAGAATCTATTTTAAAAAGGTATTATTTTAAAATTAAGTCAAATTAGGATGTAGACTTCATGAAGAATACTATTATAAAACATACCTCAAACCATACAAATATATTGTTTGTATAGTTCATGTTTGTCAAGTAAATCAACCCCATTTTCCAGACACAATTTAAACAAAGCATCTATAGAAAAGTGCACAGTCAACATCATAGTAATTAAAATTCTTAAACAAAGGTTTTAGAAAAATATAAAAAGTTAAAAATTTAGGTTATAAATTCCCAGGAGTCCCCCTTCCATGCACATGTATCTCACAAAAAACATTTCAGATACAGAAATAGAGGCTGTTAGACAGTAGGAGAGCGTGCAGGGCCACTGGCTCTTCTGAAGAGGTTTCCCTCAGGACAGTGCCCGAGGGGGATGCAGAACCAGAGTCAACGCAACTCTTGCTGGCCAATGCTCATCCCGTCTGCTGGTCATCTCGCTTCCTTTTTTAACCATGAAGAACACGGACAAGTCACCATCAGGCTGGTCGCCTCCTTGGAGCCGCTGTGGTCGTCTTGCCCGGGCGTCAGCCTTCAGGGTTTTCTTCCCTGAGGGGGAAGGTCCTCCAGCTCTTTAGGACAGTGGGAGAGCTCAGCCACGCGACCTGGTTATGAGATCACGTCGTGAGCATCACTGTTGGGTCTTTGTCGCACGGCCAGGGGAGGCAGCGGCTTCCCGTAGAAGTCTACATAAAGAATGGATACCAAAAATACAAAACAGTTATGGTAAATCAAGATTTTTGATAAAATTCATTATTTTCCAACCAACACCCTCAAAAGAGTAAGACACTGACTTGACATGTGAAGCAATGGGCGGGGAAAATAGAAAAACAATCAGAATCTAATAAAACTTGAATAAATTCAGAACACAACAACTACAGTAAACTCCTACTCTAGATTATCAATTAATCTCTACTTGATGTAATAAAAAGCTGCACCTAATGTATATGTTAGTACTTTTTATTCCAATTACATGTTCACATTAGAACAGGACAAATAACAAATATTCAAAATCTAGGAAGCCTGTTGCCAAAGCTCTGACGAGCCTGACAATCCGCATTCCTCCCCAACGGCTGTCACTTGTAGGTATTTGGGGTAACTAATTATCTTAGTGTTCTGGTAAGTAGGAATCTCTTACAATGATGCTTCAATATACTTCAGTGATTTGGGGTGTATTTGATACAAAAAAGTCTATTTTGTACTTCATAATAAGTTCCTATTCCTTAATTATCATAAATTGGCATATAAATTTAACAGCACACATGGACCTTCAATAAGTAATTATTTTCTGGCCTGATAACTTAAAATTATTCTAGAAGCACAGGTCTGCAGGCTCACTTGAAGTAAATACTGAGAACGCATTAGGGGCCTGTGTCCGGTCCTGCAGGTATGGAGCGTAGCCGAGCGCTCCGTGGTGCTGCTGCCTCAGGGTCGTTCGTCCACTGAGTGGCCTGTGAGCGCCTGGAGCAGATGCAGCCCGTCATGCAGGCACGGCCCTGGAGGGCAGCCTGCAGAGTTACAGGACGTGTAAGTTGCTGACACGACTTCCCCAGGGGCCCTGGTGACCAACAGTCCCCCTTGCCTTCCAGGGCCTTCCCCTAGATGAGCCCTGTGGGGCTTACCAAAACTCCACTCTTTTGGGTTTGAATGAACCAATCTGGGCTTAGCCTGGGAACCCCAAAGCACTCGACCCACAGACCTAATAAAGCCGTCTTGAAACTCTGCCTGCACTCGGTCTTGACCAGCCCCGCAGAGCTCGAGGCTGCCACGCACATTCTCCAGGACCTGTGAGTAGTAAACGTCTCCATTTCAATCTCTGTTGTGGTCTTTTTGAACCGAGTCTTCCTGTCCAGCACCCAGGAGCTCTATCAGCAAATGTTAATTGAACAAAGTCACAGCAGCATGCAAGGAGCTTGGAGTCCCCACTCCATCCTGACAAGAAGTAAAAAGCTGAGCAGACTGAAAAATCAACAACTTCTCTGGGACCCTATGAGGAGGACACAGGGCAGACTGCTGCCCTGAAGAATGGAGAGGCAGGCAGACGCACGGCGCCTCAGTTTACCCGAACAGGTGTTTGTGGATGGGACTGCCAGGGACCAGGGCTGCGGAGGAACCTGGACTATGGCTGACAACTGCTGGGGGCTCCGTGTGCACAAGCCTGAGAGTCAGAATGCCAGGCGGACTATGTCATTGGAGGACGCCCACAATATCGTCAGCTTGGTCTCCAGGAGCTCGAGCAGGTTCCTCCAGCTCCAGCAGGGGAGGGTAAGGGGACATTCGGAAACGCCACAGCAGCTCTTCTCCTGCACAAGGCCTGCCCTCAGGGGACATTGATTAGCTGGGACCTCACCTGCTGGGGACATCGGAGCCTCAGTGACCCGGGGAAGGAGAACACCAACTCCAGCCAGCTCTGGCCATCCTGTCCCACCCAACGGGGAGAAGGAAACTGAGAAACTCTTGTGAAGTTCACGGCCCAGAGGCACAGGCTCATGAGACTGGGCCCGACCACAGGATTACAGAAGGCTCCCGGCACTGAGGGCCTATGTATAGCAGGTCCTTTTACTGGGACATCACGTCAGGCCATCAAGAAAAAACTATAAGGCACACCAAAAGGCAAAAAACACAACAGGAAGAGAGAGAGAGCAAGCATCAGAACCAGACACGGCAGGGGTGTTGGAATGATCAGACTGGGAATTTAAGACAACTCTGATTACTATGCTAAGGGCTTTAACAGATAGAGTAGACAGCATGCAGTGTAAGCAGAGAGATGGAAATCCTAAAAGAGAACCAAAAAGAAACGCCAGAGGTGAAACACATGGTAACAGAAACGAAGAGTGCCTTTGATGGGCTTGTGACTGGACACAGCTGAGGAAAGAACCTCTGAGCTGGAGGGCACATCAACAGAAACCTCTAAAACTGAAAAGCAAAGAGAACAAAGACTGAAGAAAACAGAACAGAACATCAAAGACTGCGCGACAACTACAGAAGGTGTGATGTACGCATAATGGGAACAGCAGAAGCAGAGAGAAAGGACAGGGGCAGTATTTGAAGCCAAGACGACTGAGAATTTCCCCAAATTAATGTCAGACACCAGACCATAGATCTGGGAAACTCGAAGAACAGTGAGCAGGATAAATGCCCAAAAACCCACATCTAGCCATATCATTTTTGAATTACAGAAAATCAAAGAAAAGAAAAAATCTTGAAAGAAGCCAGAGGCAAAAACACCTTCCCAATTGAGAAACAAAGAAGAGAATTACACACCACTCCTCCTGAGAAAACAGGCAGGCAAAAAGAGAGTGGAGTCAAATAGTTACAGTGTTGAGAGAAAAACCCCATGCACCGAGAATTCTGTACCCTGCAAAGTTGTCCTTCAAAACTAAAGGCTAAAGAAAGAAAAAACTGAGGGAATTTGTTGCCAGTAGACCCGCCATACAAAATAAGATAAAAGGAGTTCTTTAGAGAGAAAGAAAATGATATAGGTCAGAAACTCTGATCTACATAAAGAAAGAAAAAACATGGAAGAAGAAATAAGTAAATGAAAATTTATTTTTCTTATTCTTAATTAACAGATAACTATTTATTCAAAATACTAATAGCAATAATGTATTAGATTATGTATGCTTATGTATATATCTTATGTATGCATGAATATATACATATATGTGCCTACATGAAATGAATGACAACAAGGAAGGGGCAAGAGGAAGGAATTAGGATAATTTGGTTATTATAGGCACTTGCTCTACCCGTTAAGTTGTACAGTGTTATTTGAAAGTGGACGTGGATTAGTTATAAATGTGTTTTGCAAACTCTAGGGCAGCCACTAAAAAAAGTAAAAAGAAAAATATTAGTATAAGTGATAAGCTAATAAAGGAGAGAAAAATGGAATCATATAAAATGCTCAATTAAAACCACAAAAGGTGGGGCCGGTCCTATGGCCTAGTGGTTAAGTTCAGGCACTCTGCTTTAGTGGCCCAGGGTTTTGCCAGTTCGGATCCCGGGCGTGGACCCAGCACCGCTCATCAGGCCATGCTGAGGTGGCATCCCACGTAGCAGAGCCAGAAGGATCTACAACTAGAATATACAGATATGTACTGGGGGGGCTTTGGGGAGAAGAAGGAGAAAAAAAAAGAAGAAGATTGGCAACAGTTAGCTCAGGTGTCAATCTAAAAAAAGAAAAAAACCCACAAAAGGCAGAAAAAGAGGGGAAGACAAAAATAGGAACAAAGAACAAGGGCAACAAAGAGAAGACAGCATTGGATAAAGTAGATATGAATCCAGCCACACCAACAATCGCTCTGAACACCCATGGTCCAAACGCAGCAATTAGCACTGTCAGACTGGATCAAAAAGCATGATCCAGCTGGATGCTGTCTACAGGAAAATCACTTTAAGTATAAAAGGTATTAGGAGAAAATGATTTTCAAGCAGCTATATTCAAAGCAACTACTAAGCTGCAATGATGCTTAATAAATCTAAATGTAATGGTGTAACATCATGAATTAAAGCCATGGGTTTCAAAGCTGGACAGACCTAAGTTCAAATCCTGATTCTGCCACTTACTAGCTGTGTGACCCTGGGGTGCAGGCTCCTCATGTACAAAATGGGATATCACTGCCTATCTTATAAGGCTGTGGGGAGAATTAAAATGAAATAATATAGCTAAAGTGCTTAGCAATATGCCAGGCACATGGTACATACCGTTATTACCATTGCTATAATTAAAATTGTAACAGAGACAATTATTTTGATAAATTTAAAGTATGCCTTTTCTAATTTCTTTTTTTTTGAGGAAGATTAGCCCTGAGTTAACTACTGCCAATCCTCCTCTCTTTGCTGAGGAAGATTGGCCCTCAGCTAACATCCATGCCCATCTTCCTCTGCTTTATATGTGGGACACCTACCACAGCATGGCTTGCCAAGCGGTGCCATGTCCGCACCTGGGATCCGAACTGGCGAACCCCGCGGGCCACCGAGAAGTGGAATGTGCGAACTTAACCACTGTGCCACCAGGCTGGCCCTCTAATTTCTTGATTTCAAAATTAATGAGAATTTTCAACACACAACAGAACTCACAAACCGGAGTGAATATAGTTTCTAATATGTTTTACTTCTGGAATTTGAAAGCACCCTCCTAAAAAGATAAACCAAATACACACGGCAAGAAGCATCCTTTTCCCTCCCAAGAAATTATCTTATTTCTGCAGTTGATTTTGTATTATTTCTTTGCCAGAAAATGAAATAATTCTATACAAATTAGGTTTCTTATTGCCTTAACTGTAGGAAATATAAGTTGATCTTAGTGCCCAACTGATATGACCAACTTAATTGGTAACACACATTTTTATAAAGTGCTTCAAACTTTTTAACATGAAAAATTGAAGAGTAGTAAAACTATTTACAAAATTTTATCTTCACTCCTATTTTAAGATTTAAAAATATTCTTTAGGGGGCTGGCCCAGTGGCATAGTGGTTAAGTTTGCATGCTCGCTTCAGCAGCCTAGGGTTCAAGGGTTTGGATCCCAGGTGTGGACCTACACACCGCACATCAAGCCACCCTGTGGCGGCGTCCCACACACAAAACAGAGGAAGATTGGCAACAGGTATTAGCTCAGAGCCGATCTTCCTCAGCAAAAATAATAATAATATGTATTCTTTAGTTTGTGCACATGGTATTTTTGTCTAACAGAATCTTTGATTTATCCCTCATAATGCATGGTACATGGCATGCTGATGAAGTACGACTGGGAGTGTTTTCTGAAGGCAGCTGTCTCACCTGTTAGACTAAGAAAGCTGTACAGACAATAAATGCAATTAGAAAAGTTGACTCAAATTCCTGTCAAGTAAATGTCCATAATCAAAGACCCAGTAAGAATCTGCCTTAAAAATCCCAATCTGACCAGAACAAATTGTTTTCATCTCACAGAACTTTCAGTGCCAAACCAATTGCAGTTAGCCTTTAACTCCCTTCTCTAGTCCATCATGTATCTGTTTACTTACCATCAACCAAATGCAACAAAGCATGCACAAAGTCACGGGAAGGAAGAGAATGCAGCTATAAAATTGGCATCTCCCAGCATCTCAGATGAAGATCTCACAATAAACCCTAAAAACTAATGTAAGCTTTTTTACTAAAATTTTTAATTTATTATACGTACTTTCTTCCCCATTAATGAAAGCAGAGTTAATCGTACTTTTTTTTTTAACCCAGGTTAGATATACTTTGACTTGAAATTTATGGGAAAAAGGAATAAAGATATTTTAAAACTTGTGAAGTTAGTGTTTTCTTTTTTGCTCTGGGAAGCTAAATTTATTGATACATACTGAAAATTAACTTAAGTATTGGAATATGGTGGTCTTAAACTTAAGTAATTTATTACAATTCTTTCCTAGGAGTTCTAATTAAAAAAACACAGGAAAGTAAGGAAAAAGAAAACAAAACACCTTCTTCTCAGTCCATTTCCAACTTCTTTTCCCACGTGCCCTGGACTGTAACGTCCCCGGGATGCTGCCATCAACTCTCTCCTCACTCTACACACGGTCCCTCGGACTCCCTCAGATGCATTCCTTCAGCAAACAATCACGGAGCTTCTACCGCGGCTGAGCACCCCCCACGCGCGCCGACAGCTGCTGGAAAAAGCCCCCTCCACAGCTCCCGCCGCCCTCTTCTCCCGAGCTCCAGGCCTTCCCTGGACTGGCAGACAGTCGTTTCCACACAGACAAGGCACAGACGCCTCCCAGCAGGTCCCCTTTCCCTCCTGTGCTCGCAGTCTTAGAGACAGCACCAACCTTCCAGCCCCGAGCCCAAGACCCTCTACTCCTCCTCTCAGCCCACATGCCCACTCCTCAACAGCACTGACTGCAATGGCTACACCCTGCTGGCATCCATTTCGCACCTCCGTTCCAGCTTCCATGCCTCCCTTCTCACTCTGACCACTGCCACAGCCCATAAGCGGGTCCTCGCCTCAGGCGTGGCACCGTCAAGTCTGCGCCTTGCATTCCTAGACAGCACATCAGTGGCACGTCCCCGGCTGACAGCGGGAAGCTCAGGGCAGATGCAGTCATCCTGATGCGCGCGGCCCTGGGCGCAGGTGCAGCTCCAGCCCCCTCTCGAACCCCCCCCCCTCCTCACCCACCCTACGCACGTGGCCCGAAGCTCCGTTTTCCGAACACCAATGTCCCTTCCCACCTCCCCACCTGCGAAGAGTCTGTCTCCTGTGCGCAGCGACCCCCTCAGCCCTCAGAGCTGCACCGACGCTTCGGCAGGCCGCGCCCCAGTGTGTGCTCCACGCCCCAGGCCGGCACCACCCCACCGACCACCGCGCCCCACACGCGGAAGCACTGTCTGCCCTGTGAGACTAGAATCCCCAGAAGGCAGAATTTATGTCTCGCTTATCTTCGCGTCACCGTGCTGTCAAATACACAATAGCTGCTTGTTGGATGCCTAACTTAGAGAAAAAATACCTGTCAAATGAGAAATGAGCATTTTTGTATATGTATACACATATATAAATACACACATCTAGTGACATTATCTGATTTTTTCTAACAACACAGTGACTATTTAAACTGATAATATTTTCCAACATACATAATATCAGAAAATAATAAAACAGGAACTAACCGATTATAGTCAATAAAACGTCATCAAGTCCTGCAAAGATGTGATTTCATTCTAATTCTGATATAGTCTAAGGACAGATTTTTCTGTCTTTAGAACTGAAAAAAAAACTTTAATTTTCATTAGTGATTATGAAGAAATATTTCATGACTGACTTACAGTATTCTAAAAAAGAAAATAGCACACTTATACTTACATACTTTTTGAATAAAAATATTTTATACAGTTTGATATAATTTCAAATTACATAGGAACGCTTTTCCAAAGATTAAACTTGTTTTTTTTTCTAGTAAATGAGTCTCCTTAGGAAACTAAGTTCTAGATTATGTAAACAGAGCCATCAAAAATGGAACCAGATGTTCTTGAGAAGTTTATTGAGCTACAATATATACACAATCATCCTTCTGCATTCTAGAAATACTTTACTGAGAGAATTGGGCTGATGGTCCGAAGTCAGCCCTCTGCCTCCCGGATGAGGGAGCTCTCTCCCCATCGTCCTTTCTCTGGTTCCCAGCTGTGGGCTTCCACTGCTATATACTGGCGGGACTAGACCTTAAGTTAACTTCGTCCAAAGAAAACTGTTTTCTTGAGTCAATAAAGCCTTTAGTAACTTTCTTTCTACTTGGCTGAACTTTTTGGTTTATTGATTTGGTCTCTGATTCTACAAATTGTGTTGATCTTGACTTCGTTTTAATATTCAGCAGCTGGGCATCTTATCAGAAGAGGAGAAAGAACAGTATGTGGCATTATCATTGAGAATATTGAGCATATATATGACAATGCAGTTTCTAACAATAATTATAACTACACTGTCTCATATTTAATTTAAATTGCTTTAAAACCTTTCCCTTTTCATAACCATTTACATAAATATATAATAGATAAACACAAGCTATGATTATTTTCACCCCTGTATTCTAAGGTATATAGAATTATACCTTTATATATATTCTAAGGTATATATAATTATACCAAATTATATAGAGGCAAAGGGCATTTAAGAATAAAAAATTAAATAAAATGGAAAAATTTGTGTATAATGAAAGGGATGGCTGTGGATTTGAAAGGCCTCCAAAAATAAAAGTTTGTTGAAGTAATGAGGTAAATAAAAGTGGATGCAACGTGCATAGGTATCTGAACACTGATCCTTTTGCGTTACCGTTATGACGTGTTTCACCAAGAAGCTGGAGTTTTGGAAGTCTAGTGACTTTGGGGGTTCCCCAGCCAACTAAAGAAAAAGAAAAACATTTTAAAACACTTTAAAAAATGTCTCTTTGGGTCTGTTGAGAGGATTCCTCCCCAGCAAGTGTACGTAACATTTGATGTCAATTCATATGCTCTACTGAACGACACAGGACTGAATAGCTATAAACCCATCATAAATGACTTCTGTTTAAAAATGCAACTACAGGCTGGTAACATCTGCTTTAAGTTTTGATTTACCTTAAGTTAAAAATATAAGCATCTTCACCATCATAAATAACCTTAGGCTACTAACCCCCAGCAGAAGCTAAAAGAAACGCTCCCTTATTAAATGGAATACTAGAACTGAATCTTCAATAATTCGCAAAGGAAAACGTTACTGTCTAAAGCCTTCTGGCAGGGCTGAAGGGCACTACAAACACGAGCATTTAGGCGCTCACTGAGCACCTGCAGCACATGCAGGGCTGTGCCTAGTGCTGAAGATCACTCACAGCCACTACGCGGTGTGCCCGTCCCAGTGCTGTACATGCAACACTCCACTAGTCCTCACAAGAACCTAACAGGTCGGTACACATGTTGGAAATATAATGGGAAAATTCACACATCTTGGTTTCAAATGTTAACTTTCAGGATGAAAGATCCAACATTTTAAAAGCTCATATTAGGGGCTGGCCCTGTGGCCAAGTGGTTAAGTTCGCATGCTCGGCTTCCACAGCCCAGGGTTTCAGTGATTGGGAACCTGGGCGTGGACGTGGCATGCTTATCAGGCCATGCTGAGGTGGCGTGAGGTGGTCACAACTAGAAGGACATACAACTAGAATATACAACTATGTACTGGGGGGCTTTGGAGAGAAGGAGAAATAAAAAATAATTCGAATCTTAAAAAAAAAAGCTCATATTAGCTATCCATTCATTAAACTTAAATTCCTTTTAGCAATCTGGGTACCGACATTTCAAATAGGACCTGAATTCATTCTAGGAAGTGCTTGGGTAAGATTTTCTTATTAATTTTTCCTTATTTTTTAAATTTTATAAAGCAATTTTTCTGATTAAAAAACGCAATGGATACTTATGTAAATAAATTTTGAACGAAGCAGACAGAGCAAAGAATTCTATCTTTTCTACAAATTCACAGGATAATGAATATATCTAATAAAAACCACACGATTTCTTTTTTCTTTCTCTTCACTGTTTAAAGCAGTATTTCTAGTTCAGTCCCCATAGCAGTTTACTCACCAGGAGGAGGAGGTGGGGGTGGCGTTGGACTCTTAGGAGCAGACTCATCAGTACTAACAGGTTCTACACGGTGACTCCTTTTTATTCTTAGTTTCTTAGTTTTCTTTTTACCATTATCTACAAGAATATAACACAGAACTTTACACCTTTGGGAAAAAGTAAACTTCTACAATAAAAAATAAAGAACAGAACTAGAATATTGATACTATTATTACCACAGAAATATATCTTAAATTCAACTTAGGAAATTGTTACCAATAACAAAATGTGAACTTGCTTTTACTAAGAGTAAATTTTTTAAATGATTACTTATTGAATGAATGATTAATGAATATGATATGAACAGCAAAAAGTCTATATTTTAAGTTCAATGAAAGGTTATTCAGAATACAAAAAAAATGCATAGTTCTAAAAGTAACTTAGATTTTTTCCAAATGTCATATTAAGTATAACTGTAATTGCAGAGATTTCCGTGAAACTCAGATCAGCATGGGGAAAGAGAAGGGGTGTTGATTTGTCTCAGTACGACATACAGAATGATTCTAGGTATAAACTGTCCCAAAATAATCCTTTGAAATGTGAAAAATGACCCCAATCAAATCTAAACACATTACCTATTAGAATAACCCCCAAACAAGGTATGCTCAATATAAACATAAGTAACTAAAATCACATTAGACCTTGCAGAATTGAATTTGTGTTGCTTCTAAAAATAACTATTTACAGATTCTCACTTAAGCACATATAAACATCTTAAGGACATCTATGTTGTTAACATGTAAACTTTAACAGTGTAAACCAGGATAGCAAGTAGTTAAATAGCCAAAGATCAAAGTTACTGAGATATTTTTTTTCTTTTCTTTTCTTTCTTTCTTTTTTTTTTGGTGAGGAAGATTCACCCTGAGCTAACATCTGTTGCCAGTTTTTCTCTGTTTGCTTGAGGAAGATTGCCCCTGAGCTAACATCTGTGCCAATCTTGTTCTATTTTGTATGTGGGATGCTGCCATAGCATGGCTTGATGAGCAGTGTGTAGGTCCAAACTGGGGATCCAAACCTGTGAACCCCAGGCCACAGAGGGGAGTCCATGAACTTAAACCACTACACCCCCGGGCCAGCCCCATGATATAGTTCAATCCTAAACTGTTAAATTTATATATATGTAATACATTTTCTAAAATGGGAATTATCTGTTACATAAGAAATAGCCAACATCTAGGAAACCTACAAAACAATGAGAAATAGAAACATAGTTAGAAATGTTATTTTTCTAAATAAATTAGTATCATCTGAGACATTTTACCCCAGAGGGAAACAAAGACATCTTTTGACAATTAAAGCTGTCAGCTTTATGGTTGGGAGACAGGAAGGAGCCTCCAGAACCACGTGGTCTTTTACGAAAGGCGAGCTCAGGGTCATGGAAGAGCAGAGGACAGAGCAGAGGGTCTGGAGTGGGTTTCAGCACAGCCACAGATGAGACATATGCTCTTAAGTGACTCAACCTCTCTGAGTGCCCGGTCTTCTCCTCTATGTAGTGGGCATAACAGACCCTAGGATTGCTATGTGCAATGACATACTACATCTGAAACCATCTTCTAAAGTGTACAATATGATCTCAATTATTATTATTTTTATAGTTATATGACTGTCTATCTTAGATCTTCCTGTGCTAAACTTTTAAATCATTTGCCAAATCATTTTGCTCTCTAAGTATCTATCAGTGTGAGAATGAGCTCTTTCAACATACTGAGAGGCAACTTTGAGTCTACTTTCTAACTCCGTTGACAGAGTTGTATGCACATGGATACGGCTGCCCTAACTTCCCAACTTACAGAAAGGATAATTTCAAAATCTAACTATTTTATTGTTGTTGTTGTTGAGAAAGACTGGCCCTGAGCTGACATCTTTTGCCAATCCTCCTCTTTTTGCTTGAGGAAGACGGTCCTTGAGCTCACATCTGTGCCAGTCTTCCTCTACTCTGTATGTGGGACGCCACCACAGCACAGCTCGATGAACAGTGTGTAGGTCCAAACTGGGGATCTGAACCGACAAACCCTGGGCCACCAAAGCAGAGCACGTGAACTTAACCACTACACCACGAGGCCAGCCCCTAAATATAACTTTTTTTTTACAGTAAAACATCCACATTAGCTAGTCTGCCCCTCAGGGATTGACAGCTCGTTTTCATAAACTCTTTGATGCTGTACAGAAATCCTTATACACAAGGAACCACTGGGCATCTCCCACATGGGAGGCCCTGTGCTAGGAGCACTGTGGGGTTTTATTGTAAATGACCCTAAAAGTCCCATGAAAAAGATGATGCTAATCCCCCTTTCAGAGACAAGGAACTAAGACTGAGCAAACGCACAGCAGATAGGAAAATCAGGGTTCAACCCCACGCTGTCTGATTCCAAACACAGGCTGTCTCTCTGTGACACAAAAAGACACGAACTTCCTGTTGAATCACATAATCAGTTAGCAAAAGAAAAGAATAATGGACTGAAAATTTTGCATGATACTAAAGAGGAAAATGTCTACTTGATAAGACATTAAAAATGTTTAACTGATTATGTCTGCATCCTACAGAAATAGCAAGTCAATAAAGGAAATGATGCTGATTGTAGCATTATGAAGCTTAAAGAAAACCAAAAAACAAAACAAAAACAAAAAGCCTTAAAGGTATCAAATACATTCTGGGAGTCCTGGCGCTATGCTATATTCCAAATTTATAAAAGTGAAATTGAAAATGGAATTTTCTGCTGAAATTCTTTTAAGGCATCAAGAATAAAAACATAAGTTAGCAAAGTGACCAATGAGTAAGTATAAACCATGACAAATACTGCATTTGGAGACAAAAAAATATTACAGTACATGTTTTGTGAAACTAATCATGACACATGAAAGGAGTGTAGCTAAGTTTTACGTGTGACCTCTATGTATGCGTATTCAAGTGACAAGACTTATCACCTGATTCTGACGACGGCTGGTCTGTCTCATCTTCATTCTCCAGCGGCTGGGTTAGTGCCTCCTGATAGTTTTCTACTAGTCCAAACTCACTGTTTCTTTGGCTGCTGTTGCTGATCTGGCTCTGCGTCTCTATTTGCTCATGATCCATTTTATGTTTCAGGGAGCAGCCATCATTGTCTTTCTCCATATTTTGCCTCTTTTTTTCAAGCTTTTTTTCATTCTAACAAAAATGAAATATATAGTCTTTAATATAATGGTGGTATCTAAGATAGTTTTAAGGGAGAAATCAAATAATCCAAGAACATTCTGTAATTTCAGGGCACTGTGATATTTCTATTAAAAGATTAATTTGTTGAATATATCATTAAAACATGTTAATTGCCAAACATTCAGAAAACATAGATATATAAAGAAAGAAAACAAACATTCTCAGTAATTCCACAGTCTAGAGATGGGTGTTGTTTGGTGTATAACCTCTAAGAGGTACCCCCTCCATGCAAACACACACCACCCACAAACGGACACAAACGTAACTGTCTCTCTCGATATACATATTTTTGTTCTTGTGGGGTTTTGGGTTTTTTGTTTTTTGTTTCTGAGGAAGATTCACCCCCTGCTAACATCTGTGCCCATCTTCCTCTATTTTTAGTATGTGGGCTGCCAGCACAGCATGGCCGCTGACAGAGTGGTATGGTTCTGTGCCTGGGAACCGAACCCCAGCCACCGAGGCAGAGCGTGCCAAACTTAACCACTAGGCCACCGGGGCTGGCCCTCTGTATTTGTTTTTTCAGTGAAAAGAATTGAAGGTTTTCTTTCAGAATGTATATTTCTTTCCTTGTCAATGAATACATGAAGTGCTCAGAACAGTGCGTGACACACAGTAAAGTGCTGGCTACACAGGTGTCTATGACACAATATGCATTAGCTACGATTACTGTCACCAGTTACATGATCATCTTGAACTGTTACACCATAGCTTATTGGACCAATTCCCAATCAATGGATAAAGAAGTTATTTTCAATTTTTCACTATTATCAGAAGTACAATTATTGAATTAGTTCTATAAAATAAATTCCCAATGGAACTGTTGAATTAACAGGTAAGCACATTTTAAAATGTGACATACTGCAAACTTCCCTTCAGAAGAACTAGAGTCAATTCACACCCCCGGCAAAGGGCTGGGGGAGTGACGTTTCCCTGCTGTTTTCAACGCTCCATGTCACCTTCAATCTTTGATATCTCCGCCAAACAAATACTTTTAAATCAAATTAAACCAACACTGAGGTAAGTTATTATTTTTTTTAAAGATTTTATTTTTTCCCTTTTTCTCCCCAAAGCCCCCCGGTACATAGTTGTATATTCTTAGTTGTGGGTCCTTCTAGTTGTGGCATGTGGGACGCTGCCTCAGCGTGGTTTGATGAGCAGTGCCATGTCCGCGCCCAGGATTCGAACCGATGAAACACTGGGCTGCCTGCAGCGGAGCACGGGAACTTAACCACTCGTCCACGGGGCCGGCCCTGAGGTAAGTTATTTTTTTATGACCAGGGAAGATGAACTATTAAATACTCATATTGCCATTTTTATTTCTCTTTAGGGAACTACCCATGGTATCCTAATACCCATTTTTCTATTAGATACTCATTATTTTCATAGTTTTAAATTCCATAATTTCACATTTTCATAGTTTTCATTATTTTCATAATTTTTAAGGGTTCTTTTTTTGTCCTATGTGTCTCAAATATTTTTCATTAGGGTTTGATTTTTTTTTGCCTTTAACTTTTTTTTTTTTAAACATTGGCACCTGAGCTAACAACTGTTGCCAATCTCCTTTTGTTTTTTCTTCTTTATCTCCCCAAAGCCCCCCAGTACATAGGTGTGTATTTTTAGTTGTGGGTCCTTCTAGCTGTGGGATGTGGGATACTGCCTTAGCATGGCCTGACGGGCGGTGCCATGTCCGAGTCCAGGATCTGAACCAGCGAAACCCTGGGCTGCGGCAGCGGAGCGCGTGAACTTAACCACTCAGCCAGGGGGCCAGCCCCCAGCCTTTAACCTTTTGAACAGCTCTTTAAAAACTGAATATAATAAAGATCTCTCTATTCTTCACTTTAGGGTTTGTGGTCTAATTGTCCTGCTTTGGAACATTTTCCTCCTTCAAGTATATACAAATTTTAACCATATTACATGCTAATATTTTTAAAGCTTCTTTTCTTATACATTTAAGTCTTCTGGAATTTAATTTTGTATACAGCACTCAATAATTTTACTTTTTTACAAACGTTTCTTCCATTGTTCCAACATCCTTTTCTCCCAAACTTGAAATGTCAATTTATCTCATACAAAGTTAGGTTTTTACTATTTGTTCCTGGATCTGTCTATTCTGGAACCAATACCTCACCATTTTTATTATCTGTGGTAAAATCAAAGAAATGTAAGATGCTTCTCTAAAAGGCAAACATTTCACAGGAGAAATTTTGTGGAAAAAGGAAAATCTGCTTGGTAAAAAGAAGACTACAGGCAACCTGTTTCACTTCTTTACTGACCATCTTGTTAAAATCACAGTAGCTTAAAAGCGTCGTAATTGTACTTTCCCCATGCCACTAATTAATTCAGGGACTTTCCATATAAGGTACACCACACTGTACACCAGGACTGTGCACGTCTTTACGTGGCGAACAACACAAGGTTGGCAGAAGCAGCGAGGCCTTCGAAGTAGTTCACAGCCCGGCACTAGAAAACCATCAGTCCTTATTACAAGTCAGCTCTATTACACAGACAGAGTCAATTAATGTTTCAAGGTGAAAAGCCAAACTTGATTTCCTTCTTCTCTACCAATATTTTTAGAAAAACATAAAACAAAACTTGACAAACAATATTTAACAGGATGGAGACAAAACAACAGCTCAAGTTATTAAGACGGCTTTACTGTACTTAGAAAAGCATACACTTAAGGTAAATGCAGTGAGCTTAATAAAAAGATTAACTACAATTAACCTTCTGGTATCTAAGCAACTAAGACCAAATATCTCATATTACCAATTATTTTGGAAAATAAATACCAAAACTACCAAACTACCTTCTTACCTGAGGAGCTCCTCCCTCCTTGCAGCAGCCCCAAAGAAGGAATCACGCACCTTTCCAGACAAGCCCCCAGCAGAGGAGGCAGGGGCAGCAGAGAGGGAGGGACCAGCAAGCCAGCTGCCAGTTAAGCTCTGAGCCAATGGGAGGAGGTTTAGGGAGCTCTGCTTCTGAGGAGGCCCGCCGCCCTGAGGGCAATTACAGCAGTGCCAGTGCAAACTCTTGACATCACTCCAAAGGAAAGCAGACCCACACACACAACCCTCACTTCCTCGTGACTATGACTACAAATTAACTGTAAAAACTTCTGACAGTTAAACAATATTCAGATGTAGGATAATCTATTATAGTTTCAAACATCCTTAAGTATCATGGGAAAACAATTAGAAAATCATTTACATACTCCAATGCATCATAAGCATCTAAATATTACTGTAAAGGGATAGTAACAGCAATACAGAGATGAAAACAGTGTAAATAAGTAAATACATTACTATCATGTGAAATAGAAGACAAAAAAGATTTATCAGGACAGTAACTATGATAGCTGCTACATTCAATCTTCATTTTCATTCTCAGTTAATTCTGAAGTCATCTTTCCTCTTTTTACTAGATCAAAGGGTAAATTCGAGGAGGAAGAAAAAGCAGCAAACTTTTAACCCATCTCTCCCATTTCACTTCTTTTGGAAATAATCAATCTCTGGTGAAACACTTCTATCTCCCTTCCTCCTTTCCCAACTTCCCACCTCCGCTCTCAACCTCCAACTTTACAACTTAAGATAGAAAAATTACATTTGCCACCATCCGTACCTCAATGATTACAGACGCTATGGGCTGGAAAGGATTAACAATAACAGGTTCTGGGTCCAAGTCAGCCAGACCACTGGTTCCATCAAGTTCAGCCTCTTCTCGCTCTCTTTGTTCTCTATTGTTTGAGGGAAAAAATTTGGAATTCCTTTTAAGAAAATGCTGAACCATGTTTAAGAATACTTGCAATAAGTTTAAGACTATTAAATTTAGTAATTTAAACCTCTGGACATGACTTTGAATTACTGAGAGATTTTCAGAAATCCTTTTGAAGGTAATAGGCCTCTACCCCCATGTAAAAATTCATCATTTACAAATGCCAACAAAAATGACATTTCCATGACTGACTTCTTAATGTCAATGGTGCATATTAACTACTTTTCTATGTACTCAGGGTTTATATTTATCAATGTATTAATTACTCTCCCAAACCAACGCTGTCCTCTTCATCGATGTCAACAGATGAATAATCCTCCTGTTAACCCTCTTCTTAAGGGCTGTGTCCAGTTGTGTATCATATATGAACTAGATAACAACTGTTGCTTTGCATGATGGCAGAAGAGGCTATAAAAATAAGTTGCCTTATATCACTCAGATTAAATATTTCCATATTAGTAACTACTGGAATGTTTACTACCTCTATGATTTACAGTCAATGTTGCCCTAAACACGAAGAGTAGTGAGTTGCTAAAACAAGTAGCTGAAGACAGAAAATGAGTACTGCAGACCTGCAACTAGACTGAGCAGAGCATAGCAATGTGAATGCTCGTTACCGCGACATCTACTCATGTTCTGTGATGGAAAGATGCATCCTTTCATTCTGAACCTAGAAAGCCAAGATGTAGATTTGAAAGTTCTACTCCTGCAGCCTTGGACATGTATCTGGATCTTTGAGCCTCAGCTTTCCCATAAATGTAGATAAAAATACCTACTTCGTAGGGTTGTTTTAGATAAAGTAATACATGTGAAAGCACTCTGTAAATGAACATACTTATAAAACAGTAATTGTTACCAGTGTTATTCATTTATTAGTAAGCAATTTCAGGTATCTAGTATCAATATACTATTTTCAGATACAAACAATAGCATATTTTACTGTTTTTCAAAAATATCTGAACCTATTAGATTTAATTTAATGAAGTAAAAAGGTCTTTTAAAATCATTCTTGTCTAAATGCCAATTTACTTCTAATTGTGGAGTCTCTACTCAGCAGGAGAGGCCTCGGGACACAAGTGGCGTGGCTGGGAGAACAGAGGAAAGGGGCATGGGGATTTGCATAGCTTGCATGGCGTGATCCAGAACACCTTTATGGAAAAGGTAAAAACTTGAAAAAAAATGACTAACATTAGGTTCCTTTTATCCAACTCAACTTTTTTGTTTGTTTTCTTAGTGGAGGAAAAGCAAAGGAGTCTTTAGAAAGGACAGCCATATACTTTACTTTCATAAATATATAAAAGAGATCCTTACACGAACGATGGGCTGTACTGAGCTTTCTATCATGAAAATACACACCAGGATAGAAAACCTAAGATGCTCAAAAGAACTAGAACCTCACAGAGGTATCAAGAGAGACCGAGATGAATGCCCTGCTCCTATTATTGAGCACTTGGGGATGGGGAGCTATCTCTGCAAAGACTTCTTTCCAAAGTCCTATTTCTGAATTAAGCGAAGGATTACAGTAATTCGAGGATTTCTGTAGCCGCGTAAGGGAGCCCCTCACAGGGCATCCCCAAGGGTGGCTGGCGGGCTCGGGCTTGGGCTCACGCTCTGGCTCTGCGGTCACAGCTCTGCTAGATCACTTAGGAAGGAAGAAGACAACTCTGCAGCTTACAGGAGCTCACAGAAAAGTCTTTTCATTTCTCCCCTCCGCTACCTGCAACAATCCAGTGGAGAAAGAAAGAGATATCTTCGATTAAGTACTAAATTCAACTTCTAATCAAATCTGAGTACTTTCTTGCAGCATTAAGATTATTCTGAACGATTCTGTCGTGGAATTTATGTAATCATTTTGTAAAACTCACTGTTCAGTTTAGTTTGAAAATTTCCTTTCAGGCAACATACTTTTAAAATAATTTTTTACAAACATATTTTAAAAACCTAATATAGCAATTCCGTCTACTTTCTCACAAAACCAGTGTCGAAGATAAGATTTTTGCTTTGGTTGACTGACCCACTAACAGCTTAACTTCTAAAATCTCTGCTGAGACTAGAGAAGGGTTCCCGATCCATCGACCCCCAGGCCCAGTCATTCTTTGTTGTTGCGACTGTCCTGTGCGGCGTAGGGTGTTGAGCAGCGCCCTTGGCCTCTGGGGGCCTCCAGGAGCACCCCTGCCCCCAGCTGTGACAAGTAAAGATGTCTAGACATTTCCAGATGTCCTCTGAGAAGCAAAATCTCCCTGCAGACTGAGAACCGTGGTACTAAAAGTAGCCATGAGAAATAAGAGATAAATATCTTAAAACCTTGGGACATAATAAATGCCTAAGGAATAAATTTGACTCCTGTAACACCACCAGGGAGATTAGAACTCTACCACCTAAAATTACTGTGTAGAGAGACAGACCTGTAAAAAGAGAAAATTTACCTAGTGTCTTCCTTCACACAGAAAGAGGAAAGTGAATGGACAAAAATTATTCATAACATTGTTGTATTTTTGACTTTTCGAATGCACAGTGGTACCTTTCTTCCCGCAGTTTTCGTACTCGTTCAGCCCTTTCTTGCTTCTCTTGTTCCTCAAGAGCACGCTGCTCCATGGTGTCTTTTTGGATGCGCTCATTTAAGGCATCGAAGTCTCTTGCAATGATATGGAGCAGCCAATAAAGGCCTTTTTTAATGGACTTGTCAATTTTCTTTCCATATCCCAAGACTGCTGAACAAGGTTCCTGAAAAACAGCATTTGACTTAAAGATTAAAACTAAAAGTTCTCCACAAAAATCTATTCATAAACCATTAAGTTTAATTACTGGCAAATCAAAATTGACCCATTAAATGAATGATATGAAGCACCTGCTTATTTAACTTACAAACACACCTCCGCAATGATCACTAACACTAGTACACAGGAGTTAAAATATTTTATGGGTGATATCTGTAAGCTATGAGAGATATTATGACAAAAGAAGTTGACGGTGCCAGTTTTAAGTTTAAACAAACTGAATGGAAGACAAAATTGAACTGCCAGAAGCAAAATACACCTACTTATTAAAAATACGGGGAATTTTTAATTCCTCATACCAGGGAATTTATACAATAAACACCTTTAAGACTGACAGCCTAAAGATCATCTTCTGAAACCAGAAAACATGATCAAATTCTCTGTCCATCTTTCTTAAGACTGTATGACAACACTCCTGACATGATTTTCCAAAATTCATTATAAACCGTGTTTAAATTTTGTATTTATACTTTTCTTTACTGTTTCACAAAATTTATAGCATGACATGTTGTACAGCTTACAGGTCCTGTCAGCAATATCTTAAACAAGAAGGAAACTCTAAAGTCTGAAATCATGAAAGAGAGCTGATGGAAATCACTAACAACTAAGGAGAAAACACTTATTACAGTATTGGGTAATACCAACAGAACAGTGAGAACATGATTTCCTGGGTAAAAAAATAAAAGTTCTTTTAAAACTAATATATTATTTTGTTAGCTGCCTACCACCTAACTGCCTGTCGCCTTTACAAAAACTAACTCATACTGAACACGTTTCACAGGACGACGACCCGACACTTACAATCTGACACAGGCACTTGTGCTCATTGACCAGCTGCTCCAGAGACAGACATTCAATCACATCAGCTTCTCCTAAGGCCCCTTCCTTGTCTTGTTTATTTGCCAACCTAGAGACATAAATGAAGTTGTTTTACAGTAAATATATAATCAGACAGCCACGCGAAAATATTTTGACCATGCTCTCCTTATTTTAAAGTTGTGATTACAGAACACACTGATTTTAGAGAATATTGTACCTATTTCATCATCTTTCCTTTATTACTGCTAAAATTAGTTTGTAAGAACTGTCCTGTAAAAGGGAAATCAGGTTAAGAAAACAGCAATAGATCAATAAGCCAAAAAAAGCTACATTTGCAGGAAAAAAAAAAGCTATGCTGTAGAAAAGGAAGTGAACTCATTTCCACAGCGTCCAGCCATCAATTCCAACTTTCACATTAATTATGTCCTTATCTTCTTAAAATACACCGCATTATGACTTAAGTGTCCTTATCTCACATCCTTATCTTCTTGGAATACAAACAGTATCATGTTCTAAACACCCAAACCTTCATTCTAGCTCTTGGCATGTGAGCTCATCTGCATCCAGCGCCGGGACTGTCCACACACACACACAGTCTTCTGGAAGCCTGGGGCCACTTCTGTCTAACCTACTTGGCACAGCACTGGGCATAAAAACATTATACTCAACGAGGAACAAACTGGGGAACAACAAAAGGAAACACAAAAGAAGTTCTAAAAAAAGCAAGAATTACCACAAAATGCCACTATTTGCCTATGAGATGGCAGGGGTCCAAAAGTTAATAAAACACTGTCTTGGTCAGGGTTTTGATAGACATTTCAGGCAAATATATATTATTTAATACATGGAATAATAAATCTAATGAACTTTATCACTTATCTTTAAAAATTACCAACATTGTGCCATTCTTGCTCATCCATATATCTTCCACTTTCCCCCAAGACATGTCACTTCACCCCAAAATTTAAAAATTAAAAAACATTACAATACCACTATCACACCTAACAAAACTAATATTCCTCAATCTTTTTACAAGTCTTATGTCCAAATTTAGATCCAAACCAGATCCACATTATAATTTATTAAGTCTTTTTGAATCAGTATCACCCTCCAGGACCAACAGCCCCACCCCTGCACCACTACCACCACCACTTTTCCTCCCATGACATTCATTTGTAAAACAAGTCATTTTTCTATAGTATTTCCCATGCTTACGATTTGGCTGATATCTTCCTTACGAGGCTTTTTAACATACATACCCTGTATTTCCTGTATCTGGTAGTTAGATGTACAGGCTGGATGAGTTTCAAGTTGAAATCTTTTTCTCCTTTTTAAAGATTTCATTTTTCCTTCTTCTCCCCACAGCCCTCCAGTACACAGTTGTGTATTTTTTAGTTGTGGGTCCTTCTAGTTGTGCCATGAGGGACACAGCCTCAGCATGGCTTGATGAGCGGTGCTAGGTCCACGCCCAGGATCTTAACTGGCAAAACCCTGGGCTGCAGAGGCAGAGCACGCGAACTTAACCACTTGGCCACGGGGCCAGCCCCTCAAGTTGAAATCTTTTGGCAAGCATTATTTCACAGATGGTGCTGGTTCTTAGGAGGCATAGGATATCTGCTTGTACCACTTTTAGTGAGGTTAAAATGGATCAGTGGATTCAGGTGGAGCTAGCCTGATTTACTCAAAATAACACTCCTGATTAAACTTTCACCTAATGATTTTAGCAGCTATTGGTGGCTTTTACTGAATTCTATTATTTTATAGGAGCTTATAAAATGATAACTTTCCTAGTTCTATATTCCTTCTGCATTTACTAGCTGGATCTTTGCTAAAAAGTAAGCTTTCATCAGCTACTTGGTGACTCTTATCTAAATACAATTCAGAGAAAAGTCAAGATAAATGCTCGATCCTTTGCCTTCATTTCCTAATTTTCATAATGGGTGCCCTAGCAGCCTCCAAAGGTAATCAAGTTGTTCCTCTGGTTTACGGGGGCTATCATTAAGAACTCACGGATTCTTACATACATTTGATGTGTGTCAATTTATCATAGCTACTGTTCTTTTTGGGGCTCCAAGTTATCCACTTTTGGTCAGTGGAGTCCCATTTGTGTTGGCTGCTGTATTCTTTTGGTACAACTCCGAAGGTCTTTGACAGCTTCTTTGCTTTCTCATAAAAACAATGTCCCAGACCTAGAATCATCCATTTCCCTAAGGAGCCCTGGCTCCTTTCAGTAGGAACCATGTTTGAAAGAACACTGTCTGGGTGCTAAAGACATTTACTGCTATTGACTTGCCATTGCTTCTAGACCCTTTTCGGTGGACAAAGCTAGGGAAAATGCAGTTTTTTAAGAAAGAAAAAAGTTAAATCATGAGCAGACATTGATTTCCCCATTTTAAACAAAATATTACCAAGTTTTTACTTAGCTGCTTAATTTCTCTTTTCTTATACTTTATTATTTATTTATTTATTTATTTAGAGGAAGATTAGCCCTGAGCTAACATCTGCCACCAATCCTCCTCTTTTTGCTGAGGAAGACTGGTCCTGAGCTAATATCCGTGCCCATCTCCCTCTAGTTTATATGTGGGATGCCTGCCACAGCATGGCTTGCCAAGCGGTGCCATGTCCACACCCGGGATCCGAACCTACAAATCCCAGGCCACCGAAGCAGAATGTGCGAACTTAACTGCTGTGCCACCGGGCCGGCCCCATATTTCTTTTTTCTTATGCTGAAAAATTGACAGCATAAGAAATTACAGTTTCTAATAAAACTGACATTAACTATTTGCTTTATCCTACGAGATATGAGTTTCAACATAACAATACCAATATTATTACTAAAAATAAGAGTACTAAAGGCAGGTTAAGATTTCTTTGTGCTTATTCTTGTCTCTAAGATATATCCCACAAGAGATGCACAGTCAAAGTACTGAGTTTTAAAATTACTTGAAATAATCCTTCTCTGTATGGTTGTGCCTCCATCTAGATACACAGCTAGGTTTCTTTGTTTCAGGCTGCTTTTGATTTTTAGATAGTTTTATTTTTTAAGATTTAATTTTTAAAACATTTATATGGTTCCAAATTCAAAACTATGAAAACGAGGTACAATCAGAAAGAACCGTTTTCCATCTCTGTCCCTTTTTCTCTCTCCATTCCTTCCATCCTCCTATAGGTAACCATTTCCATTAGTTTTTGGTTCATCTTCCCATTGTTTCTTTTTGAAAATACAAACATATATATGGAGGAAATGCTATTTTCAAAGACCACTTCTTGGGCACTATGGATATTCAGTACTGTTGAATGGCTGGAGTGTTGTGTGCATCTCCACCTTATTTCTTGCTCAGAAGCTAGCATATATACACACCCTTGTGCATCACCATGCTTTTTTAACAGTAAATCCTAAAATCATCCTGAAGCAGTGTAAGGAAATGTTCTTTATTAAGGAGTAAAATGCTCATTACGTGGATGTTTCATTGTTTATTCACCCAGGCCTACACAGAAGGACTTTGGGCTGTTTCCAGTGTTTTGTTTTCACAAAAGTGCTGTTAAGAGTAAGTGTGCGAAGCAGTTGTTTCTTATTTGGAGAAGAGACTGAAGTAGACTACTAAATCAAAGAATAAATGCAGATGTTGTTTTGATGGATGTTACAGCAATGGCCCTCCTCTCATCCTCAAATTGTATAACTCAGGCAGAATAAGAAAGAAAATAAGAAATTTAGTAGTGAGAGAAATTTCATTTCTAACTGTTCCTACAAAGATTTCTCTCTGGTAAAAATTTTAAATTACTATATTGATGTAACAAAGAGCATAACATATATTGCTGCACAACTTTAGTTTTTCTATATTGAAAACTATGAAAGAAACTTATTTTAAACTACAAATAGCAGGTATAGTAAGAAGAAAGGTAGGGTGGAAGATTTAAAGACACAAGTTTTTTTCTGGCTGTTGTAGCTTTGAAATTCCATGATTTTATGAGTTACACCCTGGGATTCCCTAAAATAGGGCAGAAATGAATCATTTTAAAGTAAATGGAACAAAAAGCCCCATGCCTATTTATTCCAAATTCCATATTTTTGGCAAGTTTTGACACCTAAAGAAAGCAAAATAGCCTTTGTTTAAGTACAAACCCGTTTTTGGTAGGCAATGCATTTTATATATAATACAGGACTGGAACCACAGAGCCCGAGCCAACACTCTGAGGCAGTTTAATGAGGACTTCCTGTGACCAACCAGCTCCAAGGAAAAGGATCTGCCTTTCATCTAAACGGGCAGAGAACAGGCAGAACCGGATTCTCCAGGTGTGAAGTAAGCAATTTGTTCTCCTCATTTGATATTAACAGCAAAAGGACAACTTTATCTCCAACTTATTTCACTTCAGTATTTGGCTTTCAATTAAGTTAACTATAAGAAACTACAGAAATTAGCCTGTGAACTACAAGGCAGTGACTTAAACAATTTGATCAAAACGTTACGGATGGTACTCAGTTTTTCTCTCCAAGGCAGGACGACAACACCACAGGCGGAAAGCAGCCTAAGGAACAAGACACAGGTAAGCAAACTAATCTTCCACGCACTTTTTAAGGTGAGACCACCACAGACTGAAACCTGTGTCACTGAAAACGAGCTCGACAGAAATTAAAGCTCTGCTCAGATCTAGACCAGGCTACGAGCCGCTGATCTGTTCCTACACACTGCTGACACACTGAACGGGATTTGGGTTTAGAGCTCTTAGAAACAAACCACTATAGTAAAAATCAACTTTTTCTTTTAAGTCCTTTAAAAAAACTTCTCATTTTGAAAACACTAGAAAGTCAGATCCTATAAAAACAAACAAAATTCTATTTTTTTTAGACTATATGGTAGTCATGCTGTGCTTGCTGCAAGAACACTTTTACATTTAATTCTGAAAAAAGCTTATGCCTAAATTTGACACATATGTATAACCTTTAAAAAGTTAAGATAATTTTTCTATAAGGTCTTAAATAATTTCTTATGTTTTTCCCAGAATCTTTTAAAAATAATTTGAGGTTATTAGAAAATAATCTTGTTGCAAAAGGACTACTGTAAAACATCACAGTACTGACTTTTTTAATGTTTCAGCTAATAAATTGAAAGCACTCAAATTATAACATTAAATATAAATACTATATTTGATTTCATAGTTTCAAAAATTTTAGTCAGCATCATTTAAATGCAACATTTAATAGGGAGGTCTGATACTTTCAAAATTAAGCAATATACAGAGGCTTAACCAAAACATTTTATTTTTTTATATTTCTTCAAAGTTATTTTGTAATTGTTACCATGCTAAAATTTAAATAAACAACTGATTTCAAATCAAAATAATAATGACTTTTAATACATGTTCTAAGGGTGGACTTGAAAGTTGGCTATGTAATGCCTAGAACACGCTATCTTCATGGCTATGCAGTTTAAATTTAATATAAAAATCATTTTATGTATGTACAGCTTACTTTAATCAGATAAGTGAGAGTTCAAAATTGCACAAGTTAATATTTAAACCAAAACCGTCTTATTGTTACCTTAAATAAGTTAATTTAACAATTACACTAAATAAAAAGTAAAATTAAAAAAGAACTGAGACTGCATTACAAAAAAGTCAGATAGTTTAAACTTAAGAGAGAATATATGCAATTTGCAATAATTTTTTTAGTTTGTTTTCCTCATTTAAGAAGCCAAAGAAGTGAGAATTCTAATAACATCAGCTGCTTTCACCTTCAACTAGGGAAATGCTGCAAGCTGTCTTCACACACAAAAGCCAAAGAATACTCCACATTACTCCAAGGTACACTGAACACATCTGCCCACCACCAAGAGAAACAGTCAGTGGCCATGACAGGCATTTATTCCTAAGAAACCAGAAATAATCTAAATGTAAAGAATCTTTAACATAAATATATTTTAAATGTTCAAAAGAAATAAATGAAGACATAGGATCCATACACCAAGATGAACACAGCATGAACTTTATAGCTGATTTTATGTAAACACCATTCACAATAACACGCCTGCCATGGCATACAGCGTTGACAGGACATCTGACTCTGTTTTCCCTTTACTATCAGTAACATATAGAGAGCTACAGAAAAGAGAGATTTGGAATACAGCAGTCCTCTCTTACCCACAGTTTCGCTTTCCAGGGTTTAAGTTACCCGCAGCAACCTTGGTCTGAAAATATTAAATGGAAAATTCCAGTGTATCCACGGTATATAGGCTACTCATCTGTTAGTCACTTAGTAGCCATCCATTATCAGATCAACTGTCTCAAATCACAGTGCTTGTGTTCCAGTAACTCTTATTTTACTTAATAATGGCCCCAAGGCCCAAGAGCAGTATTGCTCTTGCTGGCATTTTGGACATGCTAGAGAGAAGCCGTAAAGTGTTTCCTCTAAGTGAAAAGAACAGTGTCCACAGGCTTCAGTACTACCTACAGCTTCAGGTGTCCACGGGGGTCCTGGAAAGTGACCCCCCCAATAAGGGGGGGACAACTGTATTTACTTATTTTTCGCTAGTAAATTTACTAATTTACTAATTACTAATTAATTACTAATTAAGAATATAAAATACATATCAATATATTTGGAAGAGTTCCTTAAAGTACCTTTTATTCAAATACGAATGTGTGTTACTCCTTCAGGAAGCTGTTCTTCCAAGGACAGAAACCCAGGAAAAGACAATCTTTGCAAGGGTCAGAGTCAAATACCGTGGATTCCACAAACAGTGACAGTAAAATTCACCTTCCCAAAAGCACTTTGCAAAGATATACTGTGCTACAATATCAATTTTAAATATTCTATTTCTTAAAAAAGAATTCTTTTAAACTACGATGCTTCAGAAAAAGGCTTTTGATAGCATTGATCATTTATTTCTAATTAAAAAAAGGAACAATTTATTCAGCCATAAAAATGTTAGAGAGAGTTGTTTCAGGATTTTCTCCGAGCCATGCAGGCAAAGAGAAAGTTGGAGACATTGTAGTTCTTGAGAACTGTGAAATTCAAAGATTGCTAAAAGCTACTTAGCTATTATATAAGCATTAGCTAGGACTTAATTCTCATAAATAAATAATCAAAATCTGTTTTATTTTGATCCCCCCCATTTCTCATCTGAGCCTCTAATACTGTTATTCTTTTCTTTTTCCCATATTACCAGGAACACAGTAAAAAAATAGAGCAAGAAACAGTATATCTGCTGTATACGTTGTAGCTGTAAGAATTCGTAGTAACAGGTTAGTACAAGAAGAGGAAACAAATCTGTGAACATAAATGGGAATGAAGTATACCTCACTTCCTGTCTACCTTATCAGCCTGTGACGATGAGCTAAAGCAGAAGAAAATATAAGAATCCCGATCGCTACATGATGCCAAGGATAGGATTCAAAATTTCTTAGAAACTTTCTGTGACATAGGTCTATGAGATCAGAACTAATTCTTCTTCTTCTAAATTGTAAAGTGCTCAATTTGTTCTGATTATATTAAAGAGCCCAATAAAGCTGAAAACAACATAATTATTTTAGATCAGATATGCTATACCACTTCCTGCAAAAACTTTTTTCTTTTAAATAGAATTTATACAAATAACATGCTCACACACTATTATACATATATCTCCTCGATTTTGCTCATTTCCTATTTGTAAGGACAAAGGCTAAGAAACACATTCCTAGAAGACATGTGCAACATATGGATCAACAACTACTAAGGGTTTTATATTGATCTACTTTCCCAACATCCAAAGTTTGCAGTCCTGTCTATACTACCTTCTTATACTGCTCCTTGACTCATCTTCCTTTCACAGATTTTCTATGTTTAATATTGTAGCTTGTTATTTTGTCTCGCAGATCTTAGTAAACCACTAGCTTTGGCTAGTTCTATTCCTAAAGTAGAGAAATTACTCCTTGCAAGTAAGGCGGAATACAGAGAATGGAAAGGGGGTAGAAGGGATGAAGCCCTTCCCAACCTAGAAGTCTCTTACTTGCATAAACTACACAGACTGAAACTTTTTTGTTTACCTTTAATATAGCAAATCAGTGGCAAAAGAAAAGTCTGCCAGCTATTTGAATTAAGTATTTAAAATATTTAAAATAAATAGAAGAAAACTATAAGTACATTATAGGCAACAAAAACTTGATCTTAAATGTTTCCAATCTGTACTTAAAATGCTCAGGTGCACAGCAAATGTTTCTGAGTAAACTGTTAATATCCATAAAAGACTTTTTCCATCAAAAACAGATTTCAAGGTCTTATCTCTTGTGATGTGGCTTCTTTCCCAAGCATCTCACTTATCTAATTGCCTCTTCTCAGAACTCATTAGAGCTGATCTTTATAGAGCATATAATCCAGGCAAGAAATGACAATGACTTAGACCAGAGAAGTGGTGAGAGGGGCCTGGATCCAGACAGACCTCGAAAAGGGGTCGACAAGATTTGCCATTAGTTGGATAGGGGAAGGGGGGAATGGGGGGGAGGCGGGGACAAAACAGAGTAGTTAAAAATGACTCCAAAGTTTTCGGTCTGGCGACTAGAAGACTAGAGTTGCCATTTACTGAGATGCAGCTGCAGTTTGGGGGTTGGGAGGAAGACCAAGAGCTTATTTTAGACACAGACATTCAAATGGAGCTGTCAAGTGCATTGGTGTTCTGAGAGCAGTCTACACTGGAGACATAACTGAGTCATCAGCTAACGGACAGCATGTAATGCCAAGAGACTAGAAAATGATGGTGAGTAGAAAGAGGACTGAGCCTGGAAGGCTTCCAATATTCAGAGGTTGGGGAGATGGGAAGAAACCAGGAAAAGAAAAGGATGATGGGAGAGCCAAAGAGGTAAGAGGAATGCCAGGAGAAACACATTTGAAACATGTTTCTTGAAAACGTTTCAAGAAGTGATGGTCATAAGTACTGCTGATGGGTTACAATCATCAGTGAGTTCTAGTACTTCTACCTCCAAAATATATCTTGAATGGTTCCCATTATTCCATCTAGTTTTATCCTCCAAGTCTCTTCTGTGAACTACTTTCCCCACCCTGGGAAACTATTCACTATACAGTGATCTTTTAAAAACATAAATCATATGTTAATACCCTATTCATCCTTTAATTTTCTTTCACTGCATCTAGAATAAAATCTAAACTCACTACTTGGGGCCACAAGGCCCTTTATGATCTGATCCTTGCCTACCTTCCTGACTTCACTCCTCACAATAATTCTATCTACACAGGTATTCATTTTGTTCCTAAAACATATCGGTCCCAGTCATTGCCTTGGGGCCTCATTTCCTATACCAGGTCAGACTCCCTCGGCTCTTCATCTTCCCAACATTTAGGTCTCACAACCTCCTTAGAGAGGCCTTGCCTAACTGATCTATCAAGATCTAAAATTACCTCATTTATCTGTTGACTGTATATTGGCCATCTCCCCTCAGACAGTAAATAAGTCAAGGACAGGTACTACTGAATATATAATACAGCATTTAAAACTTTGAATATAGTAGCATCAATAATTATTTGACAAGATGTCAGTCCTTTAAAACCAAAAGAATATTTTCAGGACAGTGGTTTAATTTTTTACACAATGTAGGCAACATTTCTACAACATCCTTGACTGGGTCATCTTTCAAGAACATCCTGGACAGTTCCAGTGATGGCAAGCTTATTATCTCATGAAGCAGTTTATTCCATCTTGGGACAGTGCTAATTGTTTGAAAAGTCTTCTTTATACTAATCAAATCTCTCTCCACGTGATTTCCACCCACTGCCCTTTGGAGCAAAGCCAAGTAAGCCTGATCCCTCTTATACAGACATCATGCTAGACATCATACTATTATTCATGAAAGCATAATGACTATTCTGATAGCTGAGATAGAAAGCTCATAATTAATTAAAATCTCCAGTAATTTTCATAAGCACTGCTATGAACACAAGGGCCTTTCATATTGTAGATGTGAAAGTGTTTTCTAAACAACTAGATGCAATGTGTTACATCTACCCCAGTTAAACATATTTTTGTTACTTTTAGTATAGTGTTCCATGCTATTTTAATCTTTCGGTCCCAACTTGGTACTTCAACGTACTAAAGATCTGTCCATATTTTGTGTCATAAACATATTTGATAAGTAGGTCTTCTATGACAAGAGTGAAATCATTGATAAAAATATTTTCATAAATATATGAACCACTGAGTCCCATAGCGTAACAGCACAACATCAGAGAACTTTTTCTCTGGTTGATAGTGATAGTATGTATTGGGTTCAATGAGCCATTTGCAACTCCCTAACAGCTTCTTCTTCTCAAAAATATCATGAAAGGTATTATTAAATGCCTTTCTGAAGTCAAGATGTTCTGTGAAAATAAAGTATTTTACTAACAAAGATTGCTTCTTATTCAGTGCATTTTACATATATATGCATATCATTATATGCATATATATATCACTATATATAAATTATGTACATCAGGTTGATTCTATGTATAACTACCAACACAGGATGTGGTAAAAGTCAATATTATCAGCACTCTCAAAATAAGATTTTATATAAAACATTTATAAAAATATCACTTAGTATGAATTGATAGAAATTTTGTTCTAAGACAGTCTGGATATCTTTGCAAAGGAATGCTAAGAATGAGAAATCAGCATAATCAAACCAAGAATATGTTTTCTTAAACAAAGCTATGTCAAATAATGTGTTAATCAATGTGGAAGCCTCAGAGATTTTAAGATAAATTCAGGGCCGGCCTGGTGGCGCAGTGGTTAAGTTCGCACGTTCCGCTTCGGCGGCCCGGGGTTTGCTGGTTCGGATCCCAGGTGCAGACACAGCACCACTTGGCACGCCATGCTGTGGTAGGCGTCCCACCTATAAAGGAGAGGAAGATGGGCATGGATGTTAGCTCAGGGCCAGGCTTCCTCAGCAAAACAGAGGAGGATTGGCAATAGTTAGCTCAGGGATAATCTTTCTCAAAAAAAAAAAAAGAAAAATTCAACATTATCTATATTGCTTAATGCTGTCATATGGAATCTGCCTGTCACTACTGGTTTTAATTGAATTATGCATATTTAGCAAAGTGAGTATGTTTTTAACATTATATAGACCAAATTAACTGGGAAAAGTAATAAGGGCACTTTCAGGGGCCCCTTTTAGTCCTAAAAGTTGAAGATATGGTCGGCTCTTTCATTCTAAGACGTATCCTCCTACATCGAGAAGAATACGTTAAGTGGCATGACCCTGAAGAACTGTTCTGGGGCAATGGTAGGTCCATCTCTGCTTTCTCAGCCACTTCATTCAGCTGAACGGGACTCAGCAGCCCCACGTTACGTGAAGTAATTTACAATTTATTTTACATTACTTTTCCTATCTCAGTGATCTTTATGAGGAAATTCTTACTGATTCTTCTAATTTTTTAACCTCTTTTCAGAAGAGTAGGAGGATTTTTCCTGGGAGATACACATAGGTATGTGAAGCCAAGTGCTACTGGGGAAAATACCAAATTTTTCTTTGTTCATCACAGTCATTTTTGCTTCTTAGGAGGAAGGGGAAGATGAAAGACCGACTTCAGGAGCTAAAGCAACGAACAAAGGAGGTGGAGCTCTCTGGGAACAGGCCAGTGTCGACCACAGCCGCAGAGGAGCACGAGGCACTTCCCCAGCAAGCAGTTCTTTATGAAAGAGAGCCTGTAGCCGAGAGGCACCTGCATGAGATCCAGAAGCTACGGGAGAGCATCAACAACCTGACGGACGACGTCCAGCGGTTTGGGCAGCAACAGAAAAGTCTGGTGGCTTCAATGAGAAGGTTTAGTCTACTTAAAAGAGAGTCTAGCATCACAAAGGAGATAAAAATCCAAGCTGAACACATTAACAGAGGTTTGGATGATTTAGTAAAAGAAGTTAAAAAGTCAGAGGCTGAAAATGGCCCATCATCAGTGGTCACAAGGATACTGAAATCTCAGCATGCCGCGATGTTCCGCCACTTTCAGCAAACCATGTTTGTGTACAATGACACAATAGCAGCAAAGCAAGAGAAGTGCAAGACATTCATTTTCCGTCAGCTTGAAGTAGCTGGAAAAGAAGTGCCTGAAGAAGAAGTAAATGATATGCTTCATCAAGGAAAATGGGAAGTTTTTAACGAAAGCTTACTTATGGAAATCACTATCACTAAAGCACAACTCTCAGAGATAGAACAGAGACACAAGGAACTTGTTAACTTAGAGAACCAAATGAAGGATTTAAGGGACCTTTTCATTCAGATATCTCTTTTAGTAGAGGAACAAGGAGAAAGCATCAACAATATTGAAATGATAGTGAACAGTACAAAAGAATATGTTAACACTACTAAAGAGAAATTTGGACTAGCTGTAAAATACAAAAAAAGAAATCCTTGCAGGGTATTGTGTTGTTGGTGTTGCCCATGCTGTGGCTCAAAATAAAGAAGCTACTTTAGAAAACGTTCCAGCTTTAGAATGAAGAATGTCCCATTTTTCAGTGTCTTATATTGTTCTTCTTCATTTCACAGATCCATTCACATATCTTCTATCACTATTAACTCATAATTTTCCCCGTTAGTCCTTACCCAGCAGAATTACAGAAACTTCTGAAGCCAGTGGCATGAAAGAAGTCTTCATTTACTAAACTACAAACAGTACAGTTAGCTTTAAACTCACAGGTTAACTACCGACCGTGAGATGAATGATCTTAAGCTTCCAGTCAGGCACCAAGCTCTATTACATACTTTTGTAACTTCCAATGTCTTAACAAGATGAACATCGATAAACGATAACTACTTAAATAACCCTTTTGGCTCATCTGAGAGGATTTTGGTAGTTAAGAATTGTATAAAACAAGACCTCCAAGGGTGCCATATTAAAACAAAATCCAACTAGCAGCTGTATCGAATCTTTTATGCTGAGTTAGGACAGTTAATTCAGAGGTCGGCAAACCCTGGGAAGACCCACCTATGTATCTGATGATGAGTCCAGTTGGTAACTGGGAGCTGAATCTAGCTTAGGGCCTAAGAAGGTAAGTTAAGGCACTGTTTTCCTGAACTTAGGTCCATTCAGGACACTGTACTATAGATTAGGAGAGGCGGCAAATAAAATGAAAAATAAAGGCAAATATACCCTTGAAAGTTTCTCCATCACTGGTGTTGTGAAGCCAGGTACTACACTGTGGGCTGGGGATAGAGTCTGAACCCACACAGGGACAGAGTTTAGGACCGCATTCTAGGGAAGAAAGTAGACAGCACACACAAACACGAGATCACGTCACATTCTCGGCAGAGACTTAGCAAGAGAAGACTCAGTGAGATAAAGACTGTCAGGGTGGCTTCTTTTGGTTAGGTAGTCAATGAAAGCCTCTCTGAAAGGGAATACTAAGTGAGGATCTGAATGATGAGGACAAGGGAGGGTATATTCCAGGAAGAGAAAACAAAGAGTGCAAAGACTATGAGGGTATAACTTACTCGGTTCAAGGAAAAATGAGCAGTACAGCTTATCAGAGTGGCAAAAACACAGTCAGGTAAGAGAGGAGGTTAAGAAAGGTCAGCAGGTGGCATAGCATGGTGGTGTAGTGGTTAAGTTCACACGCTCTGCTTCGCTGGCCCAGGTTTCACGGGTTTGGATCCTGTTCATGAACCCACAAACCGCTTATCATCCCATGCTGTGGCGGCATCCCACATACAAAATAGACGAAGATTGGCATAGGTGTTACCTGAGCGACAATCTTCCTCGAGCAAAAAGAGGAGGATTGGCAACAGATGTTAGGTCAGGACCAATCTTCCTCACTAAAAAAAATTGAAAGGTCAGCAGGGGTTAAATTTAAGGCTTTGTAAGTCATGCAAGTCTGAAGTTTACCTATTTTTTCTATCCTTTCTAAGACTGTGCCATATCCTTTTACTTAGTGTCTTACTGATACTTGTTTACAATTGCTCCTAAAATGTTTATCATGAAAACTGAGAACATTAAGTACTATTTAATATTCACGAGCACAATTATATCCAGATGAATTTGTAAAATAGTAATTTTCTATTAGCATTTAATCTGCACATAGTGCTTTTAAAGCAAGACGTAAGCACAGATTCATCGCAAAGCAATGTATCGCAATTTTCACTGTTATAGTTGAAAACCCATTAGTATTACTCTAACCTAAGCAACAACACCAACATGACATTTAACTAATTAGTTGCTGAACAGTTTGTATGTTTTATTCACACACTTAAAAGGCACTAAAAGTAGTATTTTTTTTCCTTAAAATTACTACCTTAAGGAAAAAATTCTTAAGCATTAGAGGCACAATATTAGGAATCTACTGGTTTTAGAGGTATCCCATAATAAAACAATAAAATTATTATGAGCACTTGGGCTCATATTCTTACCTACTAAACTACATCATTTTCTTAATCAAAAGCTTCACATAGCCTGAATTCATATGGCGAGACACTTTAAAACTGGTTCTCCTAATTTATGTCCACCTAGACACAGCAAATCATTGACAGTAACTATTCATATCCACCATCACTTTGACAGAACACTGGTAAAACACTGCACTGGCTGCCTTAAACACATTATTTGGAATTCACATGACAACACAGGTATTAAAACCCTTATTTACAAGTGGAGACACCAAAGCTCAGAAGGATTAAGTCAACTACCCAAGGCCTGTCTGACTCCAAAGCCCATGCTTTCCCCTACCCGAGTAGTTCTCAATTTTTGCTCTGCATTAGAATGATCTGGAGAACCTGTGAAAAAAGCAGAAGCATAGCTGGCCCCTCAGAACTTCAGGACGTCCGGGCTGATGCTGATGCAGGGGGTCCCTAGACAACATCGTGCCGCCTAACACTGCCGGCAGGTTTTCTCCATTATTTTGCTTTTAAACAGAGCGTGTTGAGGTGGGGGGGGGGGGGGGGGACGGGAACATCTGCAGGCTCCTTGTGCATGAATTACCCAGGAAGTCAACCAGTTGGGGTGCCCCATTGTCAACCACAGCTGCTGCGTGAAGCTGGATGCCACCAGAGACAAAAGGAAGCCCCCTAAGGAAGGCTGCAGGTGAGTCAAGAGTATAACTAAATAAGGATGATGAAGAGGACAGCTTGGTAAGGTTCCACTGAAAGAAGAGAAGTCTTAGACCAATGGGCCCTATGAACACAGTGAGTAGGCGTTTCAGATGGCAAAAACAGTAAACTAGGGTACTCACCACTCTATCTAATGATCAAGTGATTAAACAACAAGGGTCCATACTTCCATACTTAGGGGTTTTCAGCATTCTAAAAAGGACTCGGTTTCTCCTATTTACTACTTAAAGGTCTAACTTCGTAAACATACATTTGACTCAAATTCTAGTGACTGTATTAGGATAATCCATAACCTAGTGAACTTCTCCCGGGCACTTGTAGAAGAATATGTCTCACAGAAACTTGTGAACCAACATTTTCCTGTAATACTGTCTAGAAGGGACGTGAGTCAAGTAGGCATGTAAAGTTTGCAGACAAAAATCCCATCTTGAAAAAGTAATAATAAAAGCCTGGTTATTGTTTCTCCTAATATGGAAACTCACTGCCATGGTTTTTAGCCTTTTTGGTCATGCAATCCTTTAGCAATTTGAAGAAAGCTAAAATCTGCTCCCAAGAAACTGCACATGCACTCAGAATTGTGTACATGATCTCAGAAGGTCCTGGGAGGTCATCCACAGTGCAAAGACCTCAGGGTCAAAAAATCTTTTTATTGAAATGTTCACAACACTTAGCAAGATTGTATCAGAGATATTATGTTTTCTTCCCCGAGTGAAACTCCTCTATTTTGTTCTGAAGTATCCAATTTGCGAGGTTCGGCCAAAAGTTAAGTTAGGTCATATAATTCCACAGAAAAGCAGACTGTATGTAATGAGAAAGTAGCACCATTCCAAGAGTTCAAGCGTGCTAACACAGGAAGAACTGTTATTATCCCAGGAGGAAATTTTAGCCTGTGGATCTCCAGAGTTATTCCAGTTATAAGTACTAGGAGATTTGACCATAAAAAAGGAAGGCTCAGGGGCTGGCCTGGTGGCCAAGTGGTTAAGTTTGTGTATTCCACTTCGGCAGCCCGGGGTTTGTAGGTTCGGATCGTGGGCCCAGACATAGCACTGCTCATCAAACCATGCTGTGGCAGCATCCCACATAAAACAAAGGAGGATTGGCACAGATGTTAGCTCAGGGCCAATCTTCCTCACCAAAAGAAAAGGAAGGGTTATTTAGTATCTCTCTGAGGCCAATTTTCAAGACTATACTAGAGAGAGGACATGTAGAGAGAGCCTTCTTAGTTAATTAGAGTATAGGTTAAAGTTAACCTCTAGATATGGGAGAAAAGAAAGACTTTCTAATAAATAAACAGGTTAACATGATTACAGAGCACAATGTTTGCATAGCATCTATTTTATTCCTTCTCTTTGGAAGAATACAAATCAGTTTTACCTTTCTGCTTAAGTGGATTCTTGAGATAGCTTGTAGTACGCAGAATTATGCTACTTTACAGTTCCTTTAACTACAGAAGAAGCACTTAACCATTAGGTCTAAAGAAGAAAAGTGACTCGCCAGGGTCCTGAACAAATTCAGACTACTGCTAGGAATCCAGGTTCCAGACTCTCGATCTCTCTAAACCCACGGCTTTCCAACTTCTCACCACTCACTGCAGATGTTTTAATTAAAATATTATGCTGACTAAGTAGTAAAGGCTATAGAACTGCCAAGCAGCAGCATCTGAGCTAATAAAACAGAAGCCTAGTGACGTCCAGGATTCTGACCCTCCAAGAGAGACTGGAGTCTGTGACAGAGACGAAATCTGGCTGAGGCCTCACTTGCAAGGACACTTGCCGTCAGGCTGCTGTGCAGAGCTGGAGCTTGTCCAGGACCTGCTGCTGTGTCCCCTACTCTGCTTCCATAGCGTGAGCGCGTCGCAGCACTACTGAACTGCGATTCTGCGGTCAGAGACAAGATCCTAACTCTTCAGGTTTGTCTCCTTCTGTTCAAAGACTGCATCTGCTCAGGGGTGTGCTCCTCCTCTCCATTCGCTCATTATCAGAGCATAGGAAGAGAGGGTTATCTAGGTGTCGAAGTGAGTTCTGAGAGGCTTTGTGGATCCTAAATCAACCAATTTAGGCTCAGACAGGGGTAAACAGAAGAAATTAGATGCTATAACTGAATGTAGCAGATGAGAGGTCCAGAAGTCTGTGGGCAGAAAGGTAGCAGCTGTGTGTAACAAGGTAGCCTGGCTCCTAATTGAGGTACCCTCCCCCCCTCCCCACACCCCACCGGCCCCCAGCACTGAGCTCAGCAAGGTTCTGCCGAGGCCCTTTCCACTTATCATCCAGTGGACATTTCAATGTCATACCTAATATGTGCTAAGGTTGTATCAGTTAAAAACCAGAATTTCCTATCTGCATGGAGCTATGAAGGCAGCCTCAAGGACTTTAAGCAGAGGAACAAATGATCATATTTGCATTTTATAAAGATCTCTCACAATCTTTGTATATTCTTGCATTGTTTCTCTTGTTAAAGCATGTACCAGTTTTGTAATGTGGAAACCACCAAATAAAGAATGGGTTCCTGCTAGCCACGTCGAGCTGAGCTCGGAGCACAGGCAGGGAGACTGGTTGGGAGACTGCTGCCACCAGGAACACAGCAGAGAAGCGAAAGGGGACAGCGGGAGTAACATCGAAGAAATGGAGAGGAGTAGAGACGCAGACCACGTGGCCACAGCGACATCAACAAGAGAAATTAACTGCAGATCAGAGAACAGGGCAAACAGGAGAAGTTCCAAATATGGAGCTTTGGTAGATATTCAAGAGGGACTTGCAATCATATGAAAAGAGACAGTATACAAAATTTTATATATTATGTGAACAGTGCACACGTTACTTGATTTACAAAAATATGCACAGGAAATTCACCAAAATGTAGCAGGGGCTGGCTGTGCACGAGAGGTCAATCTTTTAATTTTTTTTAACTCATTCTTTCCTACATCTTCTAAATTATTAAGAATGTGCACTTTTTTTGGTACATTTTGTATATTTTTGAAGAACATATTTCAAAAAGCAGTTTACCTTTATTGATAAAAATTCTATGGTTGTAAAAGTCCCCTACCAAAATTAGTCAAATGGCAAGCCATACTATATTTATAAACATATTACACTATCAATAATTAATTCTCATGTCTTTGTGAGCTCACACTATGAAATTGTAACAGTGAAGTGGTCACTCTGCATGAGGGTTGTTCTTCCTCTATTCCAGAAGCTCACTAGCTGAGCCAGGCGACAGAACAGAACACAGACATCTTGCCGAAGCTACCTGATTGCTCAGTAATCTCTGCGGACTGCACTGACTCTCACCCCACTGTCCTCACACACCTGCATGCCTGCCTCGGGCTCTTCCACACATGCGTGCATGACTGACTCTCACCTCAATGTGATCATCTTCTCAATAGGACCTACTACGATTATCGTAATTGTAAGGGTAGCATACCCCGTTCTCCATTACCACAAGATTCCCAATCTCCTTTTAGCTGCTTTGTGTTCAATATACGTATCACCCAATGTACAACATAAGTTATTCATTATGTTTATTGTCTGTCTCGTCCCTAGAAGGTAAGTTCCTAAGGCCATATATGGATTTTTATTGTTTTTGTTCCCAAATGTAACCCCATTACCAGAACAATACCTAGCACATAGTGGATGCTCAATAAATAATTTTTGAATTAATGCATGCATGAATGAATAAATGCATGAAAGATTAAATGAATAAAAGAATACATCACGTAAATGACTATTAGGTTAAAAAAAGCATACAATTATTTTACGAATGAATATTAGTCATTAATACTTTTAATTTTAGAAGTTGATGTTTTTTGTTTTGTTTTTTTCCTCCTGAGAAAGATTAGCCCTCAGCTAACATCAGCCACCAATCCTCTTTTTTCTGAGGAAGACTGGCCCTGAGCTAACATCCGTGCCCATCTTCCTCTACTTTCTATGTGGGGCGCCTGCCACAGAGTGGCTCGATAAGCAGTGCATAGGTCCACGTGGGATCCGAACCCCAGGCTGCAGCGAGATGTGTCAATTTAAATGCTGTGCCACTGGGCCAGCCCCAAGAAGTCACTGGTTCTTGCTTAAACATTTGCAGAGGCTAATTTAGCCTATGGAGTTCAACAAAGTTCACTGGTCATGTATGTGTCTATTGAAGTTTACTTCAGATTCAATAATGGTAAAAATTGATGGTATAAATCAAATAACTTCTCTAATTGGTTAAATAAAAATTAAACAGTATAAGCTTTACCAATAAATGATGCAGTAAAGTTTATTGTTTGCCATCAGAGCTGGTAAACTGCCTCATTTAAAGATGCTTGTTTACGACTGCGGACCGTGGTGAAACTCCGTTCCCAATTTCTTATTTACCCGCCGAACCCCAAGAACCCGGCAAAGGGACGAGAAGCCCGTGCGCAGGCCGTGCCTGGTCCCCGGCGCCCTCTGATGCTGACCGTGCAGACGTGCGGAGGCCGGGTGTGCTCAGGCACCAGCCACCAGACAAAGGGGCAGGCCTACAACGAAGCGGGTCACAAGACTACACCTTCACTTCAGAAACAGGAAAACTGAGAATCAACGTGGCATTACAAGAACAAACCATTTAAGTGACTTTCGAACAAGAATACTCTTCAAGCAAAAAAGACAAAGGCAAAACATAAATGTGTTATTAGAAGAGGAAAAACATTCCACAACCTTGTTAATAGACCATTCCAAAATGCAAAGTTCATAAAAACTAAATTATCAAATAAAAGTTTATATTTGAATCCCCAGGAGAGCTAATTATAAGGCTTCTTTAGAACACAGCCTCAACCCTTCACCCCTACAGACAGCATTACAACAGGCCTGGGACAGGAACAACGTCCAGTCCGTCAGAAATTTTATTATACTAGAGTGTGACTATTTTAGCTTATTCAGGATTTTGCAAGCTAGGTAAATTTCTTCATTGGCTAATGCCGCTGCCTCTACGTTGACAGTGACACCAACATGACTTACACCAGTATAGGCTTTCCCGAGATCCTAGGATGTCTTAGTACTTCTGACATCGTCTCTTTTGTCTCTTCCATTCGCTGTTCATCACTGGAATCCACAACAAATATGACCCCATAGGACTCAGCATAGTAATTCTTCCAGATTCCCCGAATTTTTTTTCCACCTCCCAAGTCAAAGATGGTGACTTCAAACTTTCCTTGTCTAAGGTCAACTTTGGAAAATCCAACAGTAGGAGCTACGTCTTCAGGATACTCTGTTTCAAATGACATAAAAGGAACAATCTTTAGACTTTAAATTAGTAACTAACTTTAAAACTTAAATGACATAAAAAGTGTTATTCATCAGACTTTAGTACTGAATAGAATGTTTATTATTTGCTTATACAATAAGCATTACATCTAAGCATACTGGTTTGGGGGAAGGGTAGATACTATAAAATAGACAACTAGAATTTATGCTCCATGCAGAGCGGATTTCTGTTTCTGTTTGTTTTATTGTTATGACCTCAGCTCCTAGAAAAATGCTACCATACAACAGGGACTTAATAAGTGTCTGTAGAATGAATAATCAGTGAACTCTTGCCATCAAAGCTAGTGACTCTCCGAGTTACAGACAATAAAAATTTCAATCCTTCAACACCACAGCCGTCCCCAGGGGACTGTTACAACCTCTGTGCAGTCATAAAGACACTCTGAGCATTTAGAGAATGGTTCAGAAGAACCAAAGAATGGGAGAAGGCACGAAGAGTAGACTCCTCTTTTAATTAGCTGAATTCAGCTGTAATTGGAATAAAGAGACTTTTAAGGTCAGCTTGCAAACATAAAGAGTGGATTTCATTATTTCTACAGGAACATGTTTTTGATATTCTTGTAAATTTACAATTGAATTTTTTTTGACTTCTGTATATGACAACACAAAGAAGGTACAGATTGTATATGATTATAACTACCAAAGAGTGGTAATGACAATAAGAGACTAAAAAGATCACTGCGTTTCAAGAAAGACTTTAAGTGGGAGCTGGACTTAGGCCTTAAAGCTAGATAGGATTAAGACAGGCAGAAGAGTAGTCTAAGCAACAGGAATGGCAAAGGCAAGAAGTACCAACAAGCTGAACACTGCGGTTGGAGCAACCCCTCGAGACAGTGAATGCAGACTGAGAAGGTTCTGAACACAGAGCTGGGAGCCAAGGAAGGTATTTCAGCAGACAATAATTGAGGTGACTTAAGGTGGTACTTTATTAAGATTCATCTTTGCTAAAGTCTGTAGGACTGACTGGAAATGAGAGGGATAGCCACTTTTCAGAGGTAAGAAAACAAAATGAGAGGAATGGACAGAGAACTTATGAAAGATTCATTGAACCTGATGACTGCAGTTAAGGAGAAAAAGAGTGCAAGTTTCACGTCTGCCTCTTCCACGCCGCCCTTCATCACTGGAATCCACAATAAATCTTACGCCACTGGACTTCGTTTACAGTGCACGATGCACAATACAGTCTTAGCACACAAGCTACCTGAGGTTTGTTAAATTTAAAACAATTAAAATTAAACGGCTAGTGGCCCAGCATACTGGACAGAGCCAATACAGAACACCTCCATCATCGCAGAACACTTCCTTAAACAACAGTGCTTTAGGAGCCTTATTGTTCTCACACTCTGCAACACATTTGCTATTGCAAAGATAAATTTGAAAGGCATTTGCTGCTAGGCTTATGTATGACTGAGAAACAGACTTGCAATGTACTTGCTGTCCTCGAATATACAGTGTAATACAGAGACACAGGATATAAATGGAAATAACACAAGAATGTAGATGTTCTCTGAAAAAGACTGGAGAGGACAGTGTGAAGGTGTAACACACTGCACATCTGTGTCTCCCTAAAACATATATGGAAACCCTAAGGTGATGGTATTTGGAGGTGGGGCCTTGAGAAGTGATTAGGTTTAGGTGAGGTCATGTGGGTAGAGCCCCCATTATGGGATTAATGCCCTGACAAGAAGAGACACAAAAGAGCTTGTTTTCTCTCTTTCTTTCCACTACTTGAGGACACAGCGGGAAGGCAGCTGTCTGTAAAGCAGGAAGAGGGCCCTCACCAGGACCTGCCCACGCCAGCACCCTGATCTTAGACATCAGCCTCCCGCCTCCAGAGCTGTGAGAAATAACTGCTGTGTAAGACACCCAGTCTGTGGTGTTCTGTTATGGCAGCCTGAGCTGACGAAGACAGAGAGCATTCAAGAGGAAAAGGGGAGAGAGGAGGGAGGGTGCACTATAGTCTAGTGAAATGGGAACAAAGTCTCAAAAGCTACAGAGGTATGACAAAGAAGGGAGAAGAACATTCTGGGCAGGGGCAGTGTAAGCACAGACAAAATGATGGCAACATTCCCAGAGAACCCATTCAGCCTGAGTAATGTTTTCAAGGTTACATGGTAGGCAGAGCCAGGACTCAAACCCAGGTCTTCAGGACTTTAGAAGCCGACTTCTTTTGACACATGGAATACCTGCACCCACTTTTCTATTCTTTCCTTTGGCTCCTACTCATGATTTCAAGACTAAGGACTAAATGTTCAGGTTTTTACTTTTCCTAGAAATCCCTGTCTGATGATTCCTTTCTACTTCCAGTATCACCTACATCCTCTAGCATAAAACAGGTATACCTCACTTTATCTTTTCAAAAAACAAGCTCTTCATTTCATTGATCTTTTCTATTCTCTTTTTAGGCTCAATTTCATTTATTTCCCCTCTGATTTTCATTATTTCCTTCCTTCTACTGATTTGGGGTTTCATTTGGTCTTCTTTTTCTAGTTCCTTTTGTGTAACATTAGATTGTTTACTTGATATTTTCCTTGTTTCTTGAGGTAGGCCTGTATTGCTATAAACTTCCCTCTTAGTACTGCTTTTGCTGTATCCCATAGATTTTGGCATGTTGTATTTTCATTTTCATTTGTCTCCTAGTATTTTTTGATTTCTTCATTCACTCAACAGTTATTCAGTAGCATTATGTTTAATCTCTGCATATTTGTGACTTTTCCAGATTTCTTCTAGTCAATTTCTAGTTTTATATTATTGTGGTTGGAAAAAATGCTTGATGTTATTTCAATCTTCTTAAATATATTGATACTGGTTTTCTGGCCTAATATGTGATCTATCCTGGAGAATATTCCATGTGCGTTCAAAAAGAGTGTGTATTATGCAGTTTTCAGATTGAATGTTCTGTATATATTTACTAAGTCCAAATGGTCTAATATGTCATTTAAGGCAAATGTTTCCTTACTGATCTTCTGTTTGGATGATCTATCCATTGGTGTTAGTGGAGTGTGAAAGTCCCCTACTATTAGTGTGTTACTGTCAATTTCCCCTGTTAAGTCTCTTAACATTTGCTTTATGTACTTAGGTTCTCCTAGTTGGATGCATAGATGTTTACAAGTGTTATACCCTCTTGTTAGATTATTCCCTTTATCATTGTGTAGTGCTCTTCTTTGTCTCTTGTTACAGTTTTTGTTTTAAAGTCTATTTTGTCTGACATAAGTATTGTTACCCCAGCTTTCTTTTCATTTCCATTTGCATGGAGTATCTTTTTCCATCCCTTCATTCAGTTTGTGAATGTCTTTACATCTGAAATTTGTCTCCTGTATGCAATGTATATATAGGTCTCGTTTTTTTAATCCATTCAGCCACCCTATGTCTTTTGATTGGAGCACTTAGTCCATCAACATTTAAAGTAAGTATTGATAGGTATATACTTATTGCCATTTTGTTACTTTTTTTCTAGATGTTTTTGTAGCTCTTCTCTGTACCTTTCTTCAACTCTTGCTCTCTTCCCTTATGATCTGATGACTTTCTTTAGTGTTATGTTTGGGTTCTTTTCTCTTTATTTCTTGTGTATTTATTATAGGTTTTAGGTTACCATGAGGTTCATATATAATAATCTATGTATACAGCAATCTATATTAAGTTGACAGTCTCTTAGGGTTGACTTCATACTAAAAGCCCTACACTTTGACTACTACTCTCCACATTTTGTTTCTGACATCATATTTGACCTCTTTAAATTTGGGTATCCCCTAAACACTTACTCTAGATATAGATAATTTCAGTAGTTTTGTGTTTTGACCTTCATACTAGCTTTATAGGTGGTTGATCCACTACCTTTACTATATATTTGCCTTCACCAGTGATGTTTTTTCTCTGATAACTTTCTTATTCTTGCTTGTGGCCTTTTCTTTTCCACTTAAGGAAGTTCTTTTAACACTTCTTGTAAAGCAAGTTTAGTGGTGATGAACTCCTTTAGTTTTTGCTTGCCTGGAAAATTCTTTATCTGTCCTTCCACCTGAATGATCACCTTGCTGGGTAGAGTATTCGTGGTTGTAGGTTTTTTCCTTTCAGCACTTTGAATATATCATGCCACTCCCTTCTAGCCTGTAAGGTTTTGCTGAGAAGTCAGCTGATAGGCTTATGGGGTTCCCCTTGTACGTAACTTGTTGCTTTTCTCTTGCAGCTTTTAAGATTCTCTCTGTATCTTTAATCTTGACATTTTAATTATAATGTGTCATGGTGTGGGCCTCTTCAGGTTCATCTTGTTTGGTGCTCTCTGTGCTTCCTGTAACTGCATGTCTGTTTCCTTCCCCAAGTTAGGGAAGTTTTCAGCTATTATTTCTTCAGATAAGTTCCCTGCCCCTTTGTCTCTCTCTTCTCCTTCTGGGACACCTATAAAATGGATGTTAGTACTCTTTATTGATGTTGTCCTAGGGATCCCTTAAACTATCTCTGTTCTTTTTCTTCTTTTTCTGTTCATCTTCAGTGATTTCCTCTACTCTTTTTATCCAGATTGGTGATTCCTCTGTATCATCTATGCTGCTGTTGATTACCTCTAGTGAATTTTTCATTTCCATTATTGTATTCTTCAGCTCTGATTGGTTCTTTTTTATATTTTTTAATTGTTTGTTTAAGTGCTCATCTATTCTTCTCCCAAGTTCAATGAGCATCCTTATTATTATTAGTTTGTACTCTTTATCAAGCAGATTGTTTATCTCTGTTTCATTTAATTGTTTTTCTGAGGATTTGTCCTGTTGCCTTATTTGGAACATATTCCTTTGTCTCCTCATTTTGCCTCCTTCTCTGTGCTTATTTCTATGATTTAGGTAGGTCAGCCATGTCTCCTGACTTTGGAAATGTGGATTTATGTAGGAGTTGGCTTATGGGGCTCAACAGGGTGCTCACGTCTCATCACTCATGCCAAATGCTCCAGAGCTGTCTTCAGTGTGAGTTGCATGTGCCCTTCTGTTGTGATAGGGTTGCTATTGTTGCAGGTGTATGGGTAGACTGGGCTAGCATCCAGACTGGCTGGTTGTGAGACCTGGCCATGTGCTGCTGTTACAGGTGCATTATTGGGCCAGGCAAGCCCTAGTGTGGCTGGTTGTGAGGTATGGTAGGTCACAACTACTGAGGGTTTGCTGTTGAGTGTGGCTGGTCGCTGGGACGTGGGGCAGACAACTGCTGCAGGCCCCCAGTGAGGTTGGCTGTGACAGGGTTGTTGCTTCCTCTTGGACAACACAGAACTCTGCTGCAGGCTGTCTCTATGGCCTGGGAGTGTGCCAGTGCCTCAGCTGCACTGGTGGGTGGGAAAGGGCCTGGTGTAGCACCACCCAACTGTTTCAGGCATCTTGGTAGGCAAGGCAGATCCCTTGCGTGGCTGGTTGTAGTCCAGCAGTGCAAGTCTGCTGCAGGTTCACTAGTGGGCAGGCAGGTCCCTGGGGTAGGCTGCCTGCCCTAGCAGGCTAGAGGAAGGATTCCAATGGCATCTGCCAGTGTCTGTGTCAGCACGGCTGAACTAGGTCACAATATTGGCTGCTGCCAGGGTCTCAGTCCCTGGAGGGCTGGCCCAGCTGCCTCCTGCCTCTCTGGTATGTGCTCCAAGCTTAGTAAGTGAGTCTCTTTTACCAGTGGACCAGGCATTTTTCTATCTGGGTCAAATGAGTCTGTACATCAGCCCTTTAAGAGCAGGTTTTCCTTTCCCTGAAGTACTATAGCTTTCCTGGGCATATTCCCCATTGGTTTTCAAAGCCCAGTGTTTTGGGATCTCATCTCTTTTGTGCTGGCTCTAAGGTCTTCTGGGGTGCCTAATGTGGATCTTCAATGCTCTGCTCCTCTGGGAAAAGCTCAGTACCTTTGAGATTGTTCCCAATCACTCCTGCCATGGCTAGGGTGTGGTTTTTCCCCCTGCAGGACTGTATCTCTTCCACCCCTCTGTGTTGTCCCCTGTTGTGGGTGTTCTTTTCATGCAGTTTCAGATCTCTGCCAGAGGAAACAGCTCCACAGCCAGTTGGAAGCTGTTGCATCTGTGGTAGGAGGCAAGCTCAGGATCCTCCTCTGCTGCCATCTTCCAAACTCTCTCTCCATTGTGTTTTTTACAAGATCCCCACCAGCAAGAAAATTATGAGTCACTGAAGGCTCCTGATGGTTAGCATTTTTTAACAATAAAATAATTTGAAATTAAGGTATGTACATTTTTTAAGACATAATGCTATTGCACACTTAACAGACCATAGTGTACAATAAGCATAAATCTATATGCACTGAGAAACCAAAAAGTTCACGTGGCTCACTTTATTGTAATATTCGCTTATTTGTGGTGGTTAGGAACCAAACCTGTGACATCTCCCAGATATGCCTGTGTTTGTCTTCTTGCTTGTCTTCACAAGCCTGTACCTCCCCAAGAGCTGGTCGCCACAAGCCTGTACCTCCCCAAAAGCTGGTCGCCACAAGCCTGTACCTCCCCAATAGCTGGTCTTCACAAGCCTGTACCTCCCAACAGCTGGTCTTCACAAGCCTGTATCTCCCAATAGCTGGTCTCCACAAGCCTGTACCTCCCAACAGCTGGTCTTCACAAGCCTGTATCTCCCAATAGCTGGTCTTCACAAGCCTGTACCTCCCCAATAGCTGGTCTTCACAAGCCTGTACCTCTCAATAGCTGGGCCCCATCTTTGTATCCTTAGCACTCAGCACAAAGCACAGAGTGGCTCAACACCACAACGCCAGGCTGCTACAACTGCTGAGCTGCGGTCCTTACATCCGTGCTTCCTTTCATCCTTCCATTTATTTATCCATTCATCCATGCCTGTAATCATTTATCAAGTGCCCATTATAGATCAGGCATCATACAAGAACCAGGGATACAAAGACTTATGGTCCCCAATCCTGAGGATTTCAGTAAGGTATCCGTGTTAGACAATCTTTAGAAAGTCCAAGACAAAATGAAAATATATAATCAATAACTATTTCTTGGGCATCTATTATATGTATTGTGCAAGGTCCTAGATATACAAAGATTAATAAGATCCAACTTCTGATCTTACAGAGCTCTTACATAGAAAAAAGCTCTTACAAGAAAAAAGGAAAAACAGATATAAACAAATACCTACAATATAATAAAGATGTGTTAATACCCAACAATAATAGGGACCAAAAATTTACACAAAGAAAAATTTTCCAACCCAAAATAACAAGAGTTCCTTAGGAGGTATTAGGAAACAGCATTGGATAGTCAGAGAATCCTGGATTTTCCAGCTTAGTACATGGCTGTTTAGGATAAAGACTACAATCCCCAGTCTCTGTGGCAACTAGGAGCGGCAGTGAGAGCAGGTTCTAGGTAGTGTGCTACTGGTGTACTATTAAATATTTAACCAGCTTGGGGGGTAGTGTTTGCCAATTTCCATGGTATAAATACTCCTATCGTGGCCAATTTCAAACTACCAGTGTGAAGTACCCCAACACAGAGTTGGGAAGGGATGTGCCTAAACGGCTCTCACTAGCTGATATAAACCAAGAAGAGCCAGGAAGAGCCAGCTCCAGACTATCACTGGTATTGGTCAATGGCATGTAAACTGAAGTGATGTGGAGGCTTCTGGTTCAGGCACTTCATGGAAAGGAAGACGGCCTCCCCTTGCCCTTTCCCTCTTTCCTTCCAGCTGAAATGCACATGCAGTAGTGAGCCACCTTGGACCAGGTAGGCAAGGAGAACACTAGGAATGGCAAAGCAAATGGGAGAAGGACCCTGAGTCCCTAACACCATGGAGGTGCTATGCCAGTCTTAGACTACTTTTGCCTGTGCTGTTATGAGAGAGGAATAAACTTCTATTTTGTCAAGCCACTGTTATATTAGGTCTCTGTTAGAACAACTGAACCTATATCCAACTAACGTAATCATTTTGACATCCATGAAGAAGAGAAGGTGACTGAAAGAAGTGAAGCTCAAGACAGGGAAAGTATTCTTATGTTAAGAAGCTATAACAACACTATAGATGAAAGACATTGAGGGTCTGGACTTGGACAATAGTAATACTGTTAGAAAGGAAGCAGACATATCTCAAAAGAAACAAGATAAAAAAAAAAACAGAGAAGAGGTGGGGCCTTCTGACTAAACTCTGGCTGAGAGAAGGTAAGCGGAAGATGGGTACCCTTAAAGGCAGGGGCACGTCCTTTTTTACTTTTCCTTTCTTACTGGCTAGAAGACAGATGTGATCCCTCTGAGCTGATCCAAGGCCTCAAGGAGCCTCTGCACTTCTGCATTTATTCAAATCTGAAACATGATAACAGGCTGGTACCATTAAGCCAGAGTCTGTTCACCATATTGGCCGCAAGTATACTAAGAATATCAAGTAATGGAGTGCACACCGTCTGTGGCCAAGAAACATGGAATAAACCAACGCAAACAAATAAGTAGTTCAGAATACTGTCATCATAAATACTCTGAGCTTACCTCCTTGGATTCCCTTCGCCGTTGCCGTTTTACCAGCATTATCAAGTCCCACCATCACAAGAGTCACCTTTCTTAAAACAACAAAAATTTTAAAATCACTGAGTTAATTCAATATTGAGGAAAATAAAAGTAAATTCATTTATTCAAGCAACATTTAAGAAGCATCAACTATGTTCAAGAAAATCTGCTGGAAACTAGAGGGTACAATGATGAATAAAATATAGATTCAAAAAGCAAAATTCACAAAAAATATCTTTAAAGTGTCATCCTTTTGTTCTCTAAGCAAAAAAGGGGGACTATACAACAGACAACCCAAAGAATAGAAGAGGAAGGGAGGGGGAGGGAGGGAGATTCTAACATACAAGTTACTCTTCCTGCCTAAAGACTCAATTAGCGGGCCCTGGGGGTCCAGTGGTTAAGAGCTGGCACTCTGACCACTGTGACCCAGGCTCCTGTGCCAGTCAGGGAACCACACCACCCGTCTGTCAGTGGTCATACTGTGGCAGCTGCGTGTTGCTGTGATGCTAAAAACTGTGCCACCAGGATTTCTCATACCAGCAGGGTCACCCATGGCGGACAGGTTTCAGCAGAGCTTCCAGACTCTGACAGAGCAGGAAGAAGGACCTGGCCACCCACTGCCAAAAAACTGGCTGTGAAAACAGTATGAATAGCAGCAGAGCACTGTCTGATAGAGTGAACATGAGAGGGTGGGGCAAAAAGGCTGGGCAGGGTTCTGCTCTGCTGTCCACAGGGCGGCTAGGAGTCAAAAGTGACTAACAACAACTATAAAGACTCAATTTTCTAGTTAATTGAATTCTAAGGATTATCACAAATCTGTTTTTCCTTGTGAAATTACATAAGAAAAGAATTATTGTTAGGTTCCAGGGACTCCTGGTGTGTTCAACTTTGTCTTCAGATAGGCAGCACCTCACCAAGTATAAATCTTAACTATAGTATAGTAACATGATTCTTAATTTAAGTGCTAACATATTTTGTCAGGGGGTTCCTACAATTATAAAGCCTAAAATGTTTCTGATGACATCCTATACTTTGTAGAGTCAGAAAAAAAAATACAGTATAGTTCAATTTTCCAGTTAAAGAAACGTAAGCCCAGGGTCCTAAGACAATGAGTCGGTTACAGAGTCAGAACTAGAAGCTAATCCACCTAACTCCCGGGGACTTCTTAAACCTGGGACAGGCATAAAGGAACAAAGCTACTATACTGGTCCTATTATCGTGTTGATTCAGTTAGGCACTAAAGGTCACTTCTGTTCCAGGCTGAAGCACTGCACATTATAAGAGGGGGGACCATCCATTAACACCATGGATTTGGGAGTATAGAGGGAAAACCACAGCAGAACACAGGGCCACAGTCCTATGGCGCAGAGGCAGGATTTCTGCTAAGTACAGCAATTCTTCCCTGGCAATGATCCCAAGAAGGGTTAAAAACAGACCCTCCATGGCAAGAAAGGGTGTTCTTTCACCTCCCTAGGCCTGGTTCTTTGAGATCTGGCCTTTTTTTTTTTTTTCCAAATGTCTTCAAAGAGTCTGAGGGTGATGCATTCCAGTCATGGGTCGCAAGCTGAAGAAGAACAAATTCAGCCTTGCATAAACCAAAGGGTCATTTACTAAACAGTCACTGACCATCTGTACACCAGACATCAGTGTTCCAGGTACTTGAGATACACCTGTGCTTATTAAAATCAGCACTACAACAATGAAAAATGAACAAAAACAGATAAAGAAACTCTTCCCTTATTAAACTTAACATTTTACTGACAGGAGACAACAAGAATAAATATAAAAAATATATATAAAAAACAAGAATAAATATAAAAAAATATATAAAAAACAAGAATAAATATAAAAAAATATAGATATACCTATTCTCATAAGTAATAGAGAATGTTAGAGGTGATTAAGGAGTACAGAAAGAAGAGTAGAACGGGGTGAAGGGGTGGGATGGGAGGCGGGCTGCAGCTTCGTGTGGGTAATCAGGGCAGGCCTCACTGGGAAGTCAAGTCTGAGCAAGGCTTGAGGAAGGAGTTAGTCTGCAAGTATCTGGGCCAGGAGAGAAGAGCAGGGTCAAGAGCACTCACGGAGCATGCAGGAATGCTCCAGCATCAGCCAGAAGCCAGGGGTCTAAAATCCAGTGAGAGAGGGGTAGGGAAGAAGGAAGGAGGGCAGATACACATGAGAGGCCAGATCATGTGGGGCCCTGATGGCCAGGGTGAGGACTTGTAGCTTTTGTGAATGAAATTAATCTACTCTCCATGTAAATTTCCTTTGTCCTCCAGGAGCCTTAGTCTCCTCTAAACGTTCAACCTTTGCTACCCAGCATGGGGAGTAAATGGAAGTATATCTACGCCTGAGTCAGGGCAAGAATAAAGTAAGTCGCCATTAGCAGCACCCCTAGCCCATCCCAGTCACCAGTGGTGGGGTTGTGGGAATGCCACAGTGAGCCACAGCAGATTATGAGTTTAGGGAGCTGAGGAAGTATGTGAGGTCTAGGTACCTCCATCCATGTGGAAATTTCACCTGGATTATCAACTTTGAAAAATATGAGGGTATTTCTTAAGAAAGCTGCAAGATATTTAGAGTATAACTTCATTTTTTTTAAGAATTCATAAGCACCAAGTATTAAAGAACAGGATTTAAGTACAAAATAATTTCCTAAACAAAATATAGTAAATGACTATCCAAAAAAGATAATGTAGAATTTAAACAATATTTTAGATAATTCAAGTTATTAGATACACAATGAATTAGACTAAAATAATATTAAAGCTAATTCAATTGCTCTTTAACAATTTATAACGCATTTCAAGATCTATAGCACTTCAAACATCACCATGAACTAAAACAATTACTTTTGGGGAACAAATCCTGATTTTGTGCTTGTTCGTATCATTTATTCTATAAATGTTCATTAAGCACCGATTACACAGGAGCAAACACACACAGTCCCCAGCCCTCACAAGCTTAGAGCCTGACAGGAAGCAGACACTGAGAGGCAAGCACGCGTGACGATCGCTATCAGGGAAAGACGACACCTATGCTGGAAGCCAGGGAGGACCCCGCTACACAGACAACACTGGGTCGGCAGTGCCCAGGAACATCATGGAGCCGCTTCCCATCCCTGTGAGCCACAGCAAAAAATCTCAAATATCCCTCCTTAAGGAAAACCGCCCCTCATTCTCCATTCCGTGGGTAGCATCTTATGTTTTCCCCCCATTCTCGTCAAGATTTCAGTTAAAAAAGATCTTCCCAATAATTACTATTACACATTTTGAAACACTGCTCTTAAAGCTAGCTCCCAAGGATGTTAGCTTTTACCTTAAAAGCTTTCCTTTTTTAAATAGAATATTAGGTTCAAACAAAAAACATCCTTCACACACGAAAATCACTTTGGAAAATGATAATCACGCTGAGACTAGTACAAAATAAGCCTCTGGATTTCTGTTTTTACTTTGACTACATTTGAAGTGGTTGATTTTTAAGACCATTATGCTATATACTTGAAAATGTGGCTTTAATTAAATATCTGACGTAATTAAAGCCTTAATGAATAAACATAACATTAGCAGTACAAATGAAAATCACAGCATGAATTACTGCAGTGCCTGATAACAAAGCTCTAAATTTATGCTTTCAGAATCAAGTGGGGTTAAAAGGTTAACATTCACCTAACACTAAAAATTCTATGCAACTCTTTAAATAATGAAGACGTACAATCTAACACATGTTAAAATGCACGTCATCGTTGCTTTTTAAAATATGGTAAATTATCACCAATTGGGAACAGTTTGGCTGTGACATAATAACAGAAAAATAAGACTGTCTACGTCTTTTAGTCTTATGATTATTGATCAGATACATTAGCCCTTCAACTGAAAAAAATAATATACAGTGTTCTTAGGTTTATAGTGTCTAGAAAAGTTGACTACAGCAATAAAATCAATCATTTAGTCATTTGGTCAGACGGTAATTCAATAAAAGTGTACCAGGCATTATGGACACAAAACTGCCTGAGACATGGCTTCTACCCCAGAGTGCTCATCCTCTGAGAGTGCCTGAAACACAAACGAATATTAAATTAGTATATTGTGACACCAGGACAGTTTAGAATGCTTATCTATACAGCCGGCCCGGTGCATCTGTGGGTTCTGCATCTGTGGATTCAACGAGCCCTGGATGGAAAGGCCTACAATAGTTGTGTCTGTACTGAACATGCAGAGACTCTTTTCCTGTCATTATTCCCTACACAATACAGTCTATTAATCCTCACACAGCATTTACACTGTATTAGGTGTTACAAGTAGTCTAGAGATGATTTAAAGTACACGGGAGGATGTGCACAGGTTACATGCACATACCTCGCCACTTTACAGGAGGGGCTTGAGCATCACGGACTGTGGTGTCCCACCTGCCGCCAGTGCTGAGGTGCTACATGAGCACAGAGTGAGGGACTTCATCTGGCCTAGAGATGCAGAAGGTCAGAGAAGCTTCCTATGCAAGGTGAGGCCTCAACTAAGTCCTTAAAGTGGAGAAGTTTGCAGAGCAAGCGGAAGGTGCACACAGGAGGAGGATGGATGAGGAGATTCCAGACTGAGAAGACATCACAGTAAGGAGGTGAGAACCGGCAGGGTGATGAGCTACGAAAGCCAGGGTTTAAGAGGGTACATCAGGGGAGCAACCTTAAACAAATGGAGAACAGCTTGTGAGCCTCAAACAATCACAACTCAGTACAACTATGGACTGAATCTACAGGGAACTGGACGTACTTTTACTGAAGGAACCAGCATCATCAGTTAGTTAGCAACGTGACCGTCCCAGAAACTGGAAGTGGTCACTTCACTCATTACAGTTGTCCCTGAGTCTTTAATCATATACCAAACTATTAAGGCTGAGAGGCAAGGACTCTGCAGTATTGTAAGATGTACCAGATGTTCGTGCCAGTACTCAGTAACACAATGGAGATCGTGGGCACTTGGAGGTATAGACACAAAACCGGTGTCAGAGAGACCTGTGTTCAAGCCCCACACTTGCCATTTCCAAGCCATATGATCTG